TAAACCTAAAGATGTTGTCAATAAAGAGGAGCACGTCCTGTCCCTCCTGATCGCGGAAGTATTCTGCAACAGTCAAACCGGTCAGGGCAACTCTCGCACGAGCACCTGGAGGCTCGTTCATCTGACCGTACACCAGTGCCACCTGAGAAACACGATGCAAGAGTCCCAGGAAACTTAACTGAAATCCAACAGCAGAGCTAAAAACCAAACTTTTACTGCTACAATACAATGACTACGTATGTTTTAACAGCTAACTTGTTAAAAGGCTCTGACCTTTGAGGTCGTGTCCTTCAGGTTAATGACACCAGACTCAATCATCTCATGGTACAAGTCATTTCCTTCGCGGGTTCTCTCGCCCACTCCAGCAAACACAGAGTAACCACCGTGAGCCTTCGCCACATTGTTTATCAGCTCCATAATCAACACAGTCTTGCCAACACCAGCACCGCCAAACAGACCTTTAAGGAATGAAGCATACACAATAATAAATTAACAAGGAATTCTTGTGTGAAAAAATAAATGTGGATTTTAAAAAAAAACAAAATCAACAAACCGATCTTTCCACCCTTGGCGTAGGGTGCCAGCAGATCTACCACTTTGATGCCAGTCACCAGGATCTCCTGCTCCACACTCATGTCAGTGAACTCAGGGGCTTCAGCATGAATAGGAGCAGTCCTGCCAAGTAATGTTTGTTATTGTAAACATGCTTACAATTGAATAAGACAGGTGCCATGTGTGCTTTATCATCTGTCAAACCCATTAATAGTAAAGACACATTTTAACTCTTATTTGAGTAAAACAGACAAAAGCTGAGATATTCACAGAGGATGGGGAAGTTTAAATCCTTTCAATACTCACTGCTTTGTACTAATTGGACCCCTCTCATCAATGGGTTCTCCGATGACATTCATAATCCTGCCCAAGGTCTCGGGGCCCACGGGAATCCGAATGGGAGCTCCAGTGTCGAGAACCTTCTGACCACGGACCAGACCCTCAGTACCGTCCATGGCGATGGTTCTGACTGTGTTTTCACCTTGAATGAATGCACAAAGAAAGACATTAAGGACAAATATTCACTCTGGAGCGTTGAGCTGGCTCATTTCAGCACACTCACCGAGATGCTGTGCCACCTCCAGCACCAGCCGGCTCTCGCGGCCTGCCACCTCCAGGGCATTGAGAATGGGAGGCAGGCCCTCATCAAACTGGACATCCACCACAGCACCAATCACAGCTACTATCCGGCCATTGGCCAGCGAAGCCTGAGCAGCTGGGGCAGCATAACCCCTGCCTGAAAGGACAGTGAAATGAATGGCAGCACATGACAGCAACAGTTCATGCTTCCCAGAGAGACCGTGCATACTAAATTAACCTATGCAAGTGAACTGAAGTACATCTAGAGGGCAGGCAGATTAACTGCCTGCCTATAAAATACTGCCACATTTTTAGGTTTTCTTAAATGCACTTCCGTATTCTGTTGTAACTGAAGCACACAGACTAACTAAAACTTTGGAACAGCGAGAGCACAGGGTCTGTGGCAAAACAATGACCCGCTTACGAAGGTCATTCATGGAAGACAGCGAAGTAAAACATATGAGGAGTAAAGACAAATACCTGAAGCAAAAACATGCCTAAATAACTGGTTCGCTCATATTTTAGATCCTTTGTTTGGCTAAAATACCCACTGATCTTCAATGAATGGAGCCTTAATGGTACAGGCCTGTTCCGCCGGGTTCGCATCTACTGGCTGTAGTAACAAGCGACACATAATGCTGACAGTCGGCCACAGTTTTAAACTTTACTTACTGGAATAGAGAGCCGCATTTCTCCCGGGGATTGTCTTCAGAGAGCTGAAGCCAGGCTTCAGAGCCTGCAGAGCCCCGCTGCAGCACCGTCCCAAGGCACCCAACATGTTAAGATGGCTGAAGGTGACGGCGCACTCTGCTTATGGCAGATCTCTAACCGCTGAACCGGGCCCTTCTGAGCATGTGCGGTATGAGTTGATTTTATGCCTTCATACACCGCTAGAGGGCAGAGCCGACATTGCCAATAACATACAGTCGCGATACAGGTAAAGGGAATTAGTCCTTCACAGGCCAACTACTCCCTGTATATAGATTTACTCCAACTGAAAGGTTTGGACTGGATTTTTAACTGGGAGTTTAATTAAAGGGGGAGTTATTGGTCAGCAGATTTTAAAAAAAAATGTATTTATGTATTTATTAATTGGGGTCAACTGTAAATAAAAAAGGCTCAGGAATGCTGATTATGGCTGCAAGTTAGTTTGCCAGCTTAATATTAGGAGTTTAGTTTTATTCACTCACAAAAATGATTCTTCACCCTCTCAAGCATTAATTATAATAATATTGAAGCAATAATTTTGAATGAAGTGCAACTGAAACATATCAAATCAAAGGTTTATTTATTCAAACAATTCATCAAGGAAAAGGTTAGTTGTATAAACTATCCATTAAATTTAACTTGTGTAATAAAATTACATGTTAATAAATTAGATAAATTCAGCATTTTGTGAAAATTCATGATGAGATGAGTACGAAGGAACACCTCAAATCTTATCTGTTGGGGGACTGCTGTTGCTCACTTGGTTAAGTGGATAACCTGAATGCTGAAAAGCTGCAGCAGCTTGGGATCATGGTGATTTCCTCCATGTCATTCTTTCTCACCCTGCCTTTATGTCTGGCTTTAATGTCTCTCTTTGCCTATCAAATGAAGGCGAAGATGGCCCCTACAACTCTTCAGGTCAGATTGTGCTTGCATACATAGGTTGGGATAGTGTATTTTGAAAGAGAGACTGTAGTAGTAATGCATATAACTAATTTTACAGCTTATAAAAACACACTGTGTGATGCAGAAATGCTTTATGAAGCCAACAGCCGAGACTGAACATATGACAGTGCTGCGAAATGTGGAACTTGTTTCTGCCAATGAAAATAAGTTGGAGTTTTTATGCCATCTATAAGTTCAAAAGTTTGGAATTATTTGAAATTAAATTTTAAATTTATTAGCCCTGCGACAGACTGGTGACCTCTCCAGGGTGTACCCTGTCTCTCGCCACAAGACAGCTGGGATAGGCTCCAGCCCCCCTTCGACCCTGAAAAAAAATAAGTGGCAGAGAATGGATAGATGGATGGAATTTAGATTTACTCAAGAAAATTCAGACCTCTGGGAAAATCTTGACTCGTGGATGGCAAAAAAAAAATTTGGTTCTGGTTAAAAAAAAAGTTTTGTTTCGGACCTTTCCATTTGGACTTTGGGTGCTCTTCCTGTGCACATCTGGTCAACAAGTTTAGGTTAACTGATGATTTTACATTGGTGGTACATGTGAATATGAAAGTGAATAGTTGTCTTTCTCAGTGAGCCCTATAACAGACAGGCAAACATATCCAGGGTGCACCCTTCCTTTCTCGCCAGGCCATTTGGTGACATTCATTGGATAAGCAGTTGCAGATCAGAAATATCGACCGAATTCTTTGTAATCCATTTTGACCACACCTGAACTTTACAGTCATACACCCTACATACGAAGTATACTGATAGGCTGTCATTTGTCATAATCCAAAGATGCAGTGTGTGTGTTTTTTTCCAAACCATCATTCAGTGTTGCATTCCTTTGTGTCAGAAAGTCTCCTCTAATTACTCCTAGCCTGCAGGTCTGTAATACAGAGCCTCTTCACTTTAAGCACAGCAGGCAGAATGCTCTGTGAATCCTCAAGAACCGTCCTCATCTCTAAACCACACCAGGAGCACAATGAAAGGTCACCTCTGCTTCTGCAATATCATAAGGTCATATTTCATGGTCTGGAAGGTGAAATACCACCTGCAGTTTCCTTTTATTTATTTTCTGAAAATTGAAGTGCCTGTCACTCACTTGGAGGTTTTAAGCTTTATTTGAAGCTTCTGAATAGCATAGCATAGCATCTTTATTTATAACGCACTTTACATCCAACAATGTTGACCAAAGTGCTACAAATATAAAACGGAGAGGAAACAGTTTAAATTACATATAAAATATCTTAAAATTAAAAATAATATAATTAATAAGAAACATATTAAGAGACATCAACAAGTCCTGCTGTGCTAAAAGCCAAGGTAAATAAATATGTTTTAAGACGTGATTTAAAAAGAGATAAGGAAGGTGCCTGTCTAACATGTAAAGGCAACTCATTCCACAATTTTGGTGCTGCCACAGCAAACGCCCGATCCCCTCTGAGCTTACGATTAGCCGACCTGAGGGACCGGGAAGGTATGTATGGATGAAGAAGCTCAGAGAGGTACAGAGGGGCAGCATTGGACAAACATTTAAAAACAAATAAAAGCAGAGTTAAGCAGAATCTTTCTATCTTTCTTTGTGGAGAATACTTGGATCAAAATTCTATTTGATTGCCACCTTTTTGCACCTCTTCACTGGTTTTCATTGCTTGGCATTTAAGCGAACATAAATCTTGGACCTTTTAACCCATTTTTCCACAGGCAGCACTGTTATGGTCATTCCAAAGCCCCAGTGAGACCGAAGGTGACGAGGAATTTGTCTTTAGAGCCTTTCAATTTTGAACCTCCCACACCCTTATGGAATTTAATTACAAAAACATCACTAAAACCATTCCAATTTTACGAGCTCACAGCAAATACAAAGAATTAAGCATCTAACATAACGCTATTTAACTATAGTGAGTTTAATGACATTAATGATTATAGAAGAATCTAAATGCAGCTAATTAAACTCTGTAACTATAATGATTTCAATCCATTACTTAACATGATGAATATAATTCTGTGTTATTCTGTAGTTCAATTTGTAGTCATTAAAATACCAAGTTCACCAAACATGCACTACATTGCTTCACTCTTTCAAACATATCTCAGCGATCTCTTTGCCTCAGGCAAGCGCAGGAGTGTTGGCCTTGCTCCATTGGATCTGGTCTGTCGGTGCCTCCTTATAAAGGAGGAGTGAATGTCTGAGGGTCTCTTAGTCTCTTCTCCCAGCAGAACTGACGCTACTGCTGCTTCACAATCAATGAAGTGCAACCCACGGTGCTAGTTGTCCTCTGCTGGTCCTCTGCCCACCCTGCTGCCTTTTTTAATTCTGCATTTTTCACGACTCCGAAAACAGGACTGACTGCAGCAATTGCACAGGAAGCTGGCTTGTAAGTCAATGTGAAGAAAGTCTCTTAATACTTTTAAAGATCTACTACCTTTCTAAATGTCACATTTAAGAGTTTGATTTCTCCAAAAAACAACCTGCTACACTCTGATTTGATGTGAAGACCTCTTTTGTACAGTGTAATTTTGACTTTAATTTGTCGTTGCTGTATTCTCTAAGGGGCAAGGATGTTTCTTACACCACTGCTGCTGGCCACAGCACTTTCCAGCATATGGGCCCAAGACTTTTACCAAGCGAGGAAAACCATCAAGAATTCTGGAGCCAAACCTCTTGCTGCAAATATCTACAATGATCAAGGTAAGAAATAAATGAATAAAGAAGACAGTTTTTAAAGTGATGCATTAATATTTCTTCATTCTCAAAACTTAAGCAGTATATTTCAACAAAATAAGAAACACAAATTCATAACCCCAACTGATTTTGCAAAACTTTTTACATCTTCTCAATATAAATTTTTGGATTTCTTACAAAAATTGCAGCATTTTCTCATCAAATTGATTGAGATGCACTGCAGTCAATCAGTTAATCAGATAACTTGTTCTGTGTGGTCACAGCCATCCTTGATGAAGACTGTAGCCTGGAACTTGCCTTCCTGTTGGACAGCTCTGAGAGTGCAAAAGACAATCATGAGGATGAAAAGCAGTTTGCCATGAACATGGTGGACAGACTCCGAGGTGTCCGGCTGCAGACTGGACGCAGCTTGAGTTTGAGAGTTGCTCTGCTGCAGTACAGCAGCCACGTTATCACAGAGCAGACCTTCAGAGATTGGAGAGGAGCAGAGAATTTCAAGACCCAAATAGCCCCAATAGTCTACATTGGGCATGGCACCTACACCACGTACGCCATCACCAACATGACCAAGATTTACCTGGAAGAATCCAGCCCCCACAGCATCAAAGTAGCAGTGCTGCTTACAGATGGTGTTTCCCACCCAAGGAACCCTGACATTTTCTCTGCTGTTGCTGAAGCCAAAAACCAGGGCATCAAGTTCTTCACTTTGGGCATCACCCGAGCAGCCAATGAGCCGGCCAATGTTGCTAATCTCCGCCTCCTTGCCAGCTCCCCTGCTTCTGTCTTTCTCCGTAATTTACAGGATAATAACATAGTCGAAAAAATCTCCACTGAAATTGTGAGTATTTAGCATTAAAGCTCATCTCTCAGTAGACAAAACAAAAAAGAAAAGTGATGTATTTGCTTTGAATGGGAGTTGGTACATTGATATGCAAGCTTCATGTAATCTTATAGAGATGAAGTGATGACAGTGCTGTGGAAAAAACAAATGAAAGATGTTCATGTCCGTTATGGATTTATGCCTTTCTCCCGAACCTTTAAAAAGACACACAAAGGAAAAGCCCCCAGGATCTTCTTTTCCGTCTGGTAATCTCTAATTGTATTACTGTTGATATTAAACTGCCTTAACAATTAAAATTAATAATTGGGTTAAGGCGGTTAGATTTCCTGTGGAATAATACATGATGTGCATATATCCATTTCCATTGCATCTGACCACTTTATTTATTACACACACTCATTCACTCATTGTAACTAATCATTTTAAAGGACTTTAAAAGTTAATAGATAATGCAAAGTTAAAATTTGTATAGCAAAATCTCATTATTTCCTAAATTTTTATCAAAACCAATGCATGTAGACACGTAAGTTATGCTGAATCAAGACAACACATCTTGGCAATAACAGAAGAAACCTAATAAGTGTCTGAAGTATGTTTGTACAACTGACAACAAGTCCATTTCTATTTTCTTTGCAGATTGGCTTAGCTGATGAAGATGTAAGTACAAGTTACAAATATTAACTCACACGAACTGTAGATATTTGATATTCAATAAAATGTCATTAAGTAGCTAAATTATTTAATTTAATTGACTGTTAAAAAATGGCTTTTATCACAGTTTAATAATCGTATCTCTGCTCTTTGAAGTGCCCAGTGGCTCAGAGATGTGCTTGTGACAAAGGAGAGAGAGGACCCAGTGGGCCTGCAGTAAGTATGAAAATACACCATAAGCAATGAGTTTTCTTTGAAGTGTCGCACTCATCGGTGAGAAGGATTTCAGAAACATTTTATACGAACCTGATATTTTAGTTATGATTGCTGTGTCGTTGTTGTTCAGACGGGATAATTGCTTGCTTTTTAAATGCAGCTTAGAGGCATTTGCACAAACAAAGAGGATGGGTGGTTCAATCCCACCATCTTAAAGAAGATTAATGAAAAAGGACCAGAGACTTTCATCTTCTATTTGAAGAGAAATATATTTACTAGGGGTGCAACGATACACAAAATTCACGGTTCGGTTCGGTTCGATACTTTGGTGTCACGGTTCGATATTTTTTCGATACAAAAAAATGTTCATGCCTTTTTAATTTGTCATTTATTAAAATTATAAATATATATTTTAACTCAAAATTACAGTTTTTAAATTTAACCCTGACCCTAACCCTTGTGCGCGTTTTTTATTTTGACAGCGAATGCGCACCTGCGGACCACTTATGTGAACCCCTGGTTATATAGCTCATCATATTGCAGCCACAGAAATTATTTTGTCCATGAAACCATAAAGCTGCACTTTCTTTTTGCCTTATAGTCTGATTTGTCATAACTTTTCCGTTTTGTGGTAAGCTTTTCTTTGGCTGTCACTTCTTCACCCTGACCTGTCTTATTTGGCTCAGCAGAACTAAAATATATATCCTGCTGCTTTTACACACGGACTCACATAACGCTCAGCGATCAACCTCTCACATGTTTAAGCTTGCTGCAGGAGATTTCACTTGTCATGTTTGCATAGTAAGCTAACGATTAATAAGACGATGTCAGAGGAATTGGTGCGCAAATTATCATCACTCACCAATCAGTACTGTTGCTCTCTATACACAGTTCGCGCGATTGCAAAGTGAAAGCAAAAAAACAAGCGCAAATTCAAACGCGATTTCAATATGTCACATATTGACAGTGGCTCACCGATGCCTATGACATAATTACCCAGCTACATTTCCGAAAGAATGCAAAAGCATTGACATATATTTTTTCTTCCTACAATAGGCCGACGGGCAGGGCAGAGGTAGCCCGACTGGAAAAATCGCTAGCCCCGGGACGTCGGGCTAGCGATTTTGCGAGCCCTGTATCTGATTGAGGAATCATTCATCTTTGGAAAAGAGAGTTTATTACAAAGAAATGGCTCTTTCCAAAATAAAAGCTATACTATACGCTTCTTCTGGGCTATATTCTCAGCAGCATATTAAACATATCAGGTCCCCATAAGGAGAATCATGTGCTAACGGCTGTCTAAATGACTCGGGTAAAGTTTGTAGCATGCATGCTTGTTGCTTTTGTCTGCTTCCACTTGTCTTTGCACTAGGATGATGTCGGCGTAAATGTGCAGTCATATTCGTTGTGTTCCCACTAGTGCTTTCAGGTTAATCTCGTTGAAATGACCTTAACACCACAACACGGCAAATCTCCGTTAACGAGCAACCCCGAACCCCCCCGGCATGGGGCTAGACGGCCAACACGTTAACGAGCTAACTGCGCTAACACACTAGTTCCCACCCATGTAATTGAGCATTGCCTGGCACATCCAACAAACTGTTTTACTTTAGTCCATGAAGCTCTTACCTTCAGGGTCATACATCACATGAACCAAAATAATTCCAAACGCCACAACTGAATGAGGGTGGGGGAGGTTCAATTTGCCATGTTGCAAGGAGAGCTTAACTTCTGTCTCGCTAGCTTACCCTGCGCTCAGTGGATCTGCGCTCGACAGTGCAGTCTAGGCGGAGTAGTCGAGCGCAGATTAACTGAGCTCTCAACACAGACAGCATCGTCAGAAGGAAAGTTGATAAAATAAATTACAAATTTTGTATTGTTCGATACATATGCATACCGAACCGAAAGCACTGTATCGAACGGTTCAATATCGATACAAATATCGTTGCACCCCTAATATTTACTTACCCTCATCTAGTTATTATACTAATGTGACATCGGATGTGACCCATGGAAGACAGAAGCATCACATTTAGAGCTTCCTGTAAAACTGATTCTTTGGCCATAGTAAATCTCACTAATCTTGCCATGGTCAATGGGACGAGGATAGAAGAATACTTACACAAGATGATCTGAGCTGTTCTACACACATACTCACATATTTTACTCATAACAACTTTAGTTTAAGCCCTTCTCCTGCTCAGATAACGTGGTCAAGTTATCGGCAGACAGTCATATTACTGACTGACAACTACTGTGAGACCAGGTGCTTTCACCACAGAGAGATTCTTCACATTCTTACACTCAGACTAAGAGGTTCTCATAATTGCTCTTATTGGTAAAATTACCACAAACTAGGGATTTCTGATGAATAATAACTGACACACACTATCCAGGTGCAGCTCAAAACAATGACCTATGGCCATGTGGACAAGATGTTTCATGTTTCATATTTTCAGCGATCATACAGATCTGTCAGAAAGGTCCCTGACCTTTTTCCACACGGTTACTCGGCAACAACTTGGTTGAGGTTAAAGGTCATAGTGTTATCTGCTGAAGTCATTTTGTGCACAGCAACAAGAATGCAAAATTTACAAAACAAATTATCAAATCTCTATCTTGATTTTGTTGCATTTTCCAGGGAAAGAAAGGTCGCCCTGGTGATGATGGAGCCCCGGGGCCTAAAGGGCAAAAGGTGTGTGCCCTTTGATGGATATGTGGACTGCTCTGAATGTTAAGCTCTTAGCTTGCAGAAATTTTCATGAGTTACTTAATACTTCCGTCTTTTGCAAAAAGACGTTAGGCTTCCCTGAACTTACAAAACTCGTGCTTTTAATTCACTTCTTCGCTTGTGTCCAGTGGAGTACCACAAGGTTCAATATTAGGTCCGATTTTATTTTCCTCATATTCATATTACCTTGTATTTAAAAACATGTGTATCACTATTGTGCTGTTGCTCTTCCTTACCTCTAATATACTGGTGACAGCAGGTAAGAAATTATAAGGGTATAAAGTTCATAAGGGTAACTTTAGTGCCTATGATGATAAACATGCATTTTGTATAATAGCAGACATTTTTTCCATAACTATAAATGCTTGCAGAGCTTTCAACCCATGTTGAATGTTTAAGAACTACATTTACATCTTTCCAACATTGCTTTATATGCTAGTATTGATTTACGTTGTAACTATGAAATGTCTGTGTTGTCTTTCTTAATCTTAACTTTTATTTACTGGCTTCCATTAAGTATAGTGACTATGAGGTCTTTCTAAATTATTTCAGAATTATTATCTGAATTGCTTTAACACACTAATAATGTACAAGTATCCATTTTTGTTTCTAAACCTGTTTCTAATCCCACCTAAGGGTGAAGCAGGATTAAGTGGAGTACCCGGGCGAGAGGGTCCAGAGGTAAATGACACTATTTGTGATCAGCATCTTCATTGTTTCTCAAGCTTGTTCACACATGGCGTCTCAATCATTTTTATTTGCAGGGAAAACCAGGTTACAGAGGAGATAAGGTATGAAATTTAGATTAGTAACAGTGGTGGGATGTTTTGGAGCGAATTGAAGCCTGAACTGTTCTTGTAATTTCTGCGCAGGGTGAGAGGGGTGAATGTGGCACTCCAGGAATCAAAGGAGACAGGGTAAGACATTGCTCTTGGTATTAAACATTCTAACATTAACTAACATTTTCAATTTAATGGATTTTACTAATTGTGTATATGGTAATTGGGTTTATGGTCTGTTTCCTATGGTTGTTTAATGTGTTTCAGGGTCCTGAGGGGACAATAGGAGAAAGAGGACCCCGAGGCCTGCAGGTTAGTATGAACTCATGTGTCTTAACATAAATTTAATAAGCAACTTAATAAGCAGACAAAACAGAGCAGCAAAGTGTTATACCTCAGAATCAGTGGGTACTGTCTTCATCACTGTTTTTCATCAGTTTTTAGTTGCAACTCATATTTTCTCCTGTCTTTGTCATCTTGTTCAGTAGTAGCCTTTATGCCTTAGTGTCACCTGTTTGTTTTCTTCCCCTAATTTTATCATGAAGCATCATTTTTTTGTGTTGTTTTGTTTGTACTTGCTGCTTTTGTTTCCCTGTGATCATCTGGCATCACAGGTTTGTGGTGTGGTTGATTTTTCACACCCGAGCTTTGTTTCACTTGTGTCTTGTTTTGTAAATGATGCTTTGTGTGTTTTAAAAAGGATAGACCATTAGGAATTATTGAAGATGATTTATTGAAATATAGCATTTAGTTGAGCTATTTGGCAATTAGTTAATGATAACCCATCGTAACAGAATGCCTGCAGTGATAGGAATAAAGACAGGATCTCCTGGAGTCTAGACACTGGTGCCGGCGAAGATGAAGATGGAGATTTGGATAGAGCTGTGAGTGACCAGGTTCAGCAGAGATAGGGACAGGGAAGCAGGCAGATGAGTGATTACAGATTTTCCTTATTAAACTTACACATAAGCTTCATTTGAAATCCTGTCAGTTTCTTTTTTCTGGTGCTTAACCATTTCATGTCCTGCATTCTTTTGGATTATTACCTTTGAATTTGTTTTGTTATGCACTTTAGCAATTAGCATTTAGTAACGCTGTTTTTTGCTCCATTTACTAAACAGTTCAAATGTTTGTGTCAACATTTGAACTGATTTGAACTGCACACCCACAATATTGTGATATTTCAAGTGATGATCAGTCACCGTATACTGTTCTTATCCAGGGTTTACCAGGACCGCATGGAGACAGGGGACCTGAGGGCCCCCAGGGAAAGCAGGTCTGCCACTTTCTGACAACTTTTACTTATCCTACCATGCACATCTGCTGTGACCTTTGCATTTCCTTTTATGTTGAGTATAAACAAGAGGTTAGAGTTTTTCTACCTCGGTAATAACTCTATAACACAGAAGCCGGTTGTCTTCTAATAGACCCCTGCGTGAAGACTTGGCAATGAGCCAATGTCTTCCCCATCATTACTTCCATTCAGGAGCTCAGGGAAAAAAAACATAATGAAAAAGTCTCACTCTAGGCTCTCCCAATGGCCCATATCCTGTGTCTAAATACAGATTATGGGGTGCCCACACCATCTTCAGCTTTTCCAACAAGGCTTGCACTTAATAACACACATGGAAAGTCTCACCATGTGAGGACCTGTATGCATTTGGAAAGATTACAAGGAGTCTTGGTGGTCCCTATGCAATTTGTGCAAGCACACAAGCAAGTCGAGTAGCTGTAAGACAAGTCTTTGTATTAATTCCTTGTATCAGGTTAAAACTGTAGACAGAGACTTTATTAAACAGTCTAAGTGATTACATGATTTTGAGCTTATTCTTCTTATCTTTAGATAACAGCTACCATTACCCCAACTTTGAGATTCACCTTTGATGTAGTAATGACCTTTGGGCCTTCTTAACCTTATACACAGGAAAAAATAAAACATTTCAGTCCTTTTTCCATCTTTTTCATACAATGAAACCAAGCTACTAAAGGTTTAAATTAAGTGGTAACAAACGATGAGAGATATAAACATTGTCGTTCAGTAAGTCTGTATGCTAATGCTTGCAAGTCCAACATACAGTTGTTTAAATAATATGTTTGTGAATACAGGGTGAACGGGGCCCATCCGGCCCTCCAGGAATTCAAGGGGAGACTGGTATTGGGCTTCCTGGACCAAAAGCAAGTCATGTTATGAACTTTCCTCTGAATATTGATCGTCGTGATTGTGTTTGGGTGACTAATTTGCACTAATATTTCTCTTCAGGGTGACATGGGATTCCAGGGCAGACCAGGTCCTCATGGTCCTCCAGGAGTGGGTGAACCCGGCCTTCCTGTAAGTTCAGAAGCATCAGAGTCTGTGCTATAGTTTTATAGCTGTGAAGTCAGTGTTGGTGTTAGTGGGAGATCTGCTCTCTGAAGAAAGTCTGTATTTTGACTTACAGCTAGCTATATTGTACGCTGATTATCTTTACAGGGGGCGCAAGGACCACAAGGTGTTCAAGGGGAAAAAGGACCCCAAGGTGAAGGGTTTCCTGGGCCAAAGGTATTTCTTTAAATCTATCATTAGAGAATAAAAAATTTGGGGTTGTGTTTAAAAGGCAGGCGAGTGAAAGACAAATGATATTTTTGAAAAAATATTAAACATTATTAGTGTATCCTCCACCAAGGCAAATGTCCTACATTGCATTTAAGATAAGATATAATTTATTAATCGCAGATTTTGGAGGAAAAACAAACCTGAACCAAAGCCCATTTTAATAGGTTCTTTCTTCAGCCATGCTCCACTTCTCCCCAATTTTTGATAAATGTGACACTGGTAGTTTTGCATAATCTTGCAAATAGAGGAGGAAAACACTATTTTGAAACCATAAGAAATATGGCAAAATATTGATCTGAACTAATCTGAGAGTGCTTCACCTCTATATCACGACACTGAAAACACACCTCTGATCTCACACTACTAGACAAAATGAGTGCTGCAGATAATCTGCCTTCATTATAATGACCTTTAAACTAACTACTTTCATCATTACCAACTTCAAAATCTATTACAGTAAATATTCCATGAATCATTTGCTGTATCTGAAGGTTACAAAGACATAAATTGTGATTAAATAAGCTCCTCAGCGAGCATTACTAAAAGAAACAAAGAGTGTATGATTCAGTCTCAGGTAACTAGTTGATACACATCTGTCAAAATCAGCCTCTGTTCCAGCTCACTGACTCACAATACAGGCGTTCACTCAAGCGTGTATACACACTCTGTTGTTAAGCCTAAAAACTATGTTTTCCCCATGCTGCCACATGCTGCATTTTAAAACACACAGCAGACGTCTCATTCAAATAGAGATAGCTGGGATTCAACCAAGGGCTTAGCAAGACATGTTAATACTAATGACAGCAGGTCTTACTGTGTAGCAGCAAAGAAAACAACCTAACCACAGCGAAGTAAAAACAGTATGATAACCGAGTAAGAGTAAAAACCTAAAATAATGTTAGCAACACTCTCTTTATAAAGTTGTTGAAGTTTCTGTGTAAAGAATTCTAAAAGCAGTTTTATTTGTTGAGGGAATTAACACTGAAATGTCCTCAAGCATTTTTAATCGCTTTCAGACTTTCTGGTGATTATACTTTTTACTATACCATCCTATTGAGAAAAAACCTCCTCTCCATTCAGATTTTTTAAATGAACAAACACTAGTTTAGATAAAAGTATTGTACACTCAAAAATTGTCAAAAAGACAAACAAACAAAAACATGTCATTCCTGGGTAATGGGATCATTGTGAATCACTCAGCAACAGGAGCAAACATGCCCTCCTGCCATGCTTTACTGAAACAGTGGGATTTGGCTGTGACCCAATCTTGACTAATGGAATTAACCTGACTTTGGTCTACAGGGGGATCGAGGGCTGCCAGGGCCCAGGGGACCACGGGGACAGCAGGGTGTAGGCATCAAAGGAGAAAAGGTGGGTTGTAAATGAAGTTAATTAAGAAAATTCAGTACAACAACAAAGACTGTTCACAACAAAGACTCTAATGAAATCCACAAGGGGAAACTCTAGAAGTCCTTTAGGCTACAATTATAAAAATGTTGTGACTGAGTGAGGCAAAATACAGGAGTGCGTTAGATTAAACATCTGGTTACTGTGGGAATGTTAACGGTAGTGCATACAGCAGGGCTGCACTATATACTATACAGTTAGGTAGCTACTGTATAACACAATCTTTCATTGGCTGCTTGTGAGTTAAACATTTATTAACCTGAAAAAAGGTTGATAAACACAACAAATGTGAAAATACAGTATATGAAGATAAAATGAGTCTGGGAACTTACTGTACATAACCATATTCTGTATGTGTGTACAGGATATGATGAAGTGTAATCTATAAAATAAAAATGAGTTTTTGTTTGCATTGCTGTTGATCTTTACGGTCTTTCTCACGATATGAGTTTCCTACACACTATAATACTAATTCTAGCATTTTCAGAAACAAACTAAAACCCACCGGGAGGCTGAGACTGGGCCTGCATACTTTTGTGCAACAATAGTGATTCCCTGAAATCAAAATCAACTTTAAATCTTTATTAATGAAAGGGAAACCAAAAGGACACAAATTTAATGCAAAGTGCACAAAAAAATCTCAGGGATCACAAAAGAGGAAAGGGATCCATTCACCCTCTCTTCTACAGCTAACACTGGGTGAACACATGGATGTTAACAGTAAGTATTTATGATTATGATGGTTTATTCCCAGGGAGAACTGGGCCAACCAGGATTGCCAGGGCCAACTGGACCAATAGCAGTGGGCATACAGGGAGAAAAGGTCAGGGCGACATCTTTATCTAAATGCTATTTGATTGCCTTTATTTGTTCTGACACATATGCTGAGAAATTGCAATGCAGTAGCACCACACATTAAAATAACCCTAGAATCATTATTATTATTGTACAGGGAAATGAAGGACCAAGAGGCCCTCCAGGAGTCAGAGGTCTTCCAGGAGAAGGTCTACCTGGGCCCAAGGTTTGTTAAAAAACCCTTAAGATGCATATTCAGATTATTCAGGTTTACTTGTTTACTTTAGTCACGCAGACAAGATAAGAACTTGATTCCCGGTCAGTCTAGAACTAACTTTACCCTGTCCTGTTATATCAGGACAAAATAATTTAGCTGCTTGCCATAGTTATCAAACAGAGACAGCAGAAAATTAAAACTACTACAAATGAATAAAATAAAAGGTTAAATATTTCAAATTTAGAATTATTATTAAATCTGAAATATTAAGTTTTCAGATTTAAGTTTAATTAAACGTGGTAGGATATGACTAGAATATGACTTCTCTTCAAAGGGAGACCAAGGTTTACCAGGAGAGCATGGAGCTCCAGGAGAGACAGGTGTTGGTGAACCTGGGCCAAAGGTAAGATAAGACATTTCCTGAACAAAGTGTGTCAGGCTAATCCTGGTCTAGCAGCATAAAACAGTACTGAATACAGCAAAAGCTGGATGTGAAAACATTCTGCTGTTACAGGGAGAACCTGGAGCGGCAGGAGTGAGTGGCCTGCCTGGTCTGCCAGGAGAAGATGGAGCTCCAGGGCAGAAGGTAAAGCAGTATCTGACTGATCATTTTAACAATGGTTATGAAAAAAAGTCTTATTATTTATTGAATAAACCCATTCGTTCTTTTAGGGTGAGCCTGGTTTGCCTGGTTTAAGAGGTTCTGAGGGGCCACAAGGAGTTGGCACTCAAGGCGAGAAGGTATGTTTATAATTCAGTAGTCTTGTGTATCCCACAGTTTTCTTAATGCTACTCACAAAATATATTTGGTATTCACTCCCAGGGTGACCAGGGTGTTAGGGGCATCCGTGGGTTACATGGACCTCCTGGGGTCTCAGGACCATCTGGACCAAAAGTAAGAATTTCACAGAACATGATGATAATATCTTACTGTGGTACAAAGCGTCCGTGATAGTGTATACACATTAACCCAAACTTTGAACGAAGCCAAAAAAATGAGTCTTCTACCAGTTGTTGGCAGCACACTTGTTGTTAAAATAAAGACAAGTGTGAATAGGATCTTAAGTTCCTCAACAACTTCCTTCCAGGGCGAACGCGGGATACCAGGCCAGCAGGGCATGCCAGGGCAGCAGGGACGGTCCATAGCAGGTGCAAAGGTAAATAAATTTTCTCTTTACACTGATCTTGGTAAGCATCCACCAGTGTAGTCTGATGCAACATAATGCATCAAAAGACTGTTGCTGTAGTCAGACTTAACTGTCTCGCGTTCAGGGTGATATTGGTCCCGCTGGCCCACCTGGTCCTATTGGAGAAACAGGCCATGGACTACCTGGTCCAAAGGTAAATGCAGTCCTAATTTATTAGACGCACTGATCAAAACACAAAGGTTTGGGCCTCATTGTTGAATTTGTTGTACCAGGGTGATCGCGGCTATCCAGGTTTACCAGGTCCTGCTGGCCCAAAAGGCCAAGGCATCCCTGGCCCTATGGTTAGTATCAACTGCCAAGACATGACAAATGTCTAAATGTTTTTCCTGCAACTCTGTAATTAGTTAATGTTGTGCAAGGTTGCTAAAACTGGAATAATCTCTGTACTTTATCCAGGGTGCTCCAGGCCAGCCAGGACTACCAGGTGAGCCCGGCCCAGAAGGAGTGGGATTTCCTGGACCTAAGGTTTGTACCTACATGCTACGTGATTCTGGGATAATCTAGTTAGTCTGTTATTATAGTTTTTGCATCGCTGTTTTTTGGGAGGTGGGTTTGATATGTATAAGGATGCCTGTTTTATACTATGATGTCTTTTTCAGGGAGACATTGGGTTTAGAGGATTGCCAGGTTTGCCTGGTCCGCCAGGAGAAGGCTTACAGGGACCACTAGTAAGAGCGATTACAGTTTGATCTAATTGTTTTTAATTCTACATGCTAATTCTAATGTTGACAAATTATAATATTGAAAGTTGTATTTTGAACATATTTAATGTATGTGCTGCTTTGTGTAGAATATGGATTCACTAATATACTTGAAATTCTATGTGTTAAGGGCAATGTTGGAAGGCCAGGTCCTCCAGGCCCAACTGGACCTCAAGGAGAAGGTATTCAAGGTCCAAAGGTAAGTTTTTTATATGTTTTGTATATTCATTCATTCATTTTTGTATATGAAAGAGTGAAGCGGCATTTTATTGGTGCTGACATGTTTCACAAGTGAACTGCCTGGCAAACCGGCCGCAGGATAAACACAAAAATAATTTATGACCTTTCTTGAGTTTGGATCTCTTCTGTATGATTCAGTGAATAACACAGTCTAATTTCAGGGTGAGCCAGGATCGCAAGGCATGACTGGGCCTAGAGGGCCTCAGGGAGATGGGCCTCCTGGAGAAAAAGTGATGAATTTACATGCTGCTTTCAAATATTTTATTGATGTCGGATTACTTGGTCTCTGACTGATAATTTATTCTTCTGTTATGATAGGGTGATCGTGGACTACAGGGTGAGAGGGGGATAAAGGGTACAAAAGGAGACATGGGAGATCCTGGAGTCCCTGGTGAAATGGTAAAATAGACCAAAATAACAATGAGTAAATAAATTACTCATATATGTGCTTTTAACAGCACAAAACTGAAACGTGAATGTTGTTTTTCATCCTTTTTCAAATTACAGGGAAGGCCTGGAGAAAAGGGAGAACCAAGCCTCACTGTAAGTTCAGTAATTCAACATTTTTTTGGGGCCATTCAAAAAAGTAAAAACATTTTCCACTGACATATGTTTTCCATATTTTTCAGAGAGAAGAAATTATTAAGCTGATCAAAGAAATCTGTGGTAAGATTGAGCCTTGTCTATTTTAATAATGATTAATAAACAATTGTGTAGAAACAGACAATGTGGCAAAGTAAAATCTGCAATTAAATCTTTTAAATCTGTGTGCAGAGGAGCTTTGAATTCATTACTGTCATGCTGGTATTTTATTAGTTTGCCAAAGCAGCAGCCAAAAAATATATGATTATGCCATTTGTTTGTCTGTATTTTTGAATGTCTGCATTCTAAACCATAGTCTTTAAATGCCTTTACAATGCAACACGGAGCACTGACATTGGCACTGATGGAGGATGTGCTCAGTATGTGCCCCTCTAGTTTAAACTTAGTCAAACATCTATGCATAAAATGTTTTGATGACAGGTTAAAGTACTGAGGTGTTAATTAATACTATTCTGTTTAGTAAGCAAAGTGCATGTAAAGACTGCAGTGCTTAACAAATGCATTAGATCATCTGTATACAGTATACATGCACTAGTGAGATAAAACAGAAAATGCTAGAATTGCACTCGCAAAACCTGGAGTGAACACTTCTTAAACAGGGTTTTAGTAAATTAAAAACTATAATTAGCCATGGTATCTTCAGAATAAATTGGAATAAAAATATTCCACTGACACTTCAAATCCACGAGAACTTGTATTAGCTGAGGCAAGAACTAGCTAGTGGCCTAGTCGACACCTACTTGTCATAAAGTTGCCTGACCCTAGCTTGTTTATCATTTTAATAGCTAAAAGAGGAAAATTAGCTTTAAAGACCAAAATCTGTTTGTACCAGACTGTCAACATGCATATTTTTGTTGTAAAGTTGGTTATTTTGAAATTTGAGTCTGTAGGGACTGACTCAGTTATGGAGCCAGCCTCAAGTGGCCACTGGATGAACTGCAGGTGCCATCATAGCAACCAGCTGCAGAAGCAACACTCCTAGGTTTAAGAGGGTTTATTGTTATTGCAGATTGTGCCAGTATGAGTAGCCGCTGATGGTCTGCCTTTGCCCATAAACTGCACATGTGCAATAAAGCAGTCATGTACTAACTGCACTTTATACCTTTTCAGGATGTGGCATCAAGTGCAAGGAAAGGCCAATGGAACTTGTCTTCGTCATTGACAGCTCAGAGAGTGTTGGGCCTGAGAACTTTGAGATCATCAAAGATTTCGTCACAAGGTTAGTGGATCGGACCACAGTTGGCCGCAACGCCACCAGAATTGGCCTGGTCCTCTACAGTCTGGATGTTCATTTAGAATTCAACTTGGCTCGCTACATCAGCAAGCAGGACATCAAGCAGACGATCAGAAAAATGCTTTACATGGGAGAGGGCACTTACACTGGCACTGCAATTAGAAAGGCGACTCAGGAGGCTTTCTTCAGCGCCCGCCCCGGTGTCAGAAAAGTAGCCATCGTCATCACTGATGGTCAAACTGACAAACGAGAGCCTGTCAAGCTTGATGTAGCTGTGCGGGAGGCTCACGCTGCAAACATTGAGATGTACGCCCTGGGAATTGTCAATTCCTCTGATCCAACCCAGGCTGAGTTCTTACAGGAACTCAATCTTATAGCCTCAGACCCAGACAGTGAACACGTGTACCTCATTGATGACTTCAACACGCTAACAGGTGAAAGTCAAAGCCAGATACTTTAAATATCATGAGGAGATTTAAAATGCCTAATAATCCCACTTTTTCTTTCATTTTTCCACAGCACTGGAGTCCAAACTTGTCAGCCAGTTCTGTGAAGATGAAAATGGTGCCTTTATTTACAATCACATTACCAATGGACACCGGAATGGTAACAATGGGCTTAGTGTTAGTGGAAATAATGGAGCAACTACTAATAACTATAATAGCTATGGCAACAATGGTTACATTTTTGGAAACAATGGATATGGGAACAGTTATGAAGAAGAAATCCAAAACCATAGACACACCAACAGCCGTGGCCGTGGAGACACTTTCACACTGCCCATCAGTGCCGATCCTCTTCCTGTTCAGGTCTCGTCTTCACTGTTTTAATTACATAATACTTTGTTACTTACAGTAAATGTATTTATTGCAATATTGAAACACTGTGCTGCTGTTTCACACAGGTAACAGAGGATGATGATGGTGAAGATTTAGATTTAAGGGCTCACGTGCGGGGTGACAAGCATCTGTCTAGAGTCAACAAAACAACATTTATATCACCTGGTAGAGAAAGTTCTGTGTCCAAAACAACTGTTGTATCATCTTCATCATCATCTGTATCTGGAATATCTTCATCAACAATGACTTCAAGTTCCTCCTCAAACTCAAATCAGTTACAGCCTGTGGTGATTCCAGTTCAGCCTGGAGGTGAGTACCACACTCCTGTACTGGATATGTCACAGAAAGAAATGTCTTGTTGCAAGAACTAATTTTGACTATACACTTTAAGAAACCTTGAATCTATCAGCGTTAGCTCTGTCGGGAAAGGGCTAAGTCTATTCTTCTAGCACATAAATGTTTTTTTTAGTAAACATGTGTCTCACATACCATTCCCTCGTCTAGATCCCCGCTGTGACCTCAGCTTGGACCAAGGCACCTGCCGAGACTATATCATACGCTGGTATTATGACAAGCAGGCCAATGCTTGTGCACAGTTCTGGTACGGAGGCTGTGGTGGAAATGGCAACCGTTACGAAACAGAAGATGAATGCAAGAAGACTTGCGTTCTGCTCAGAAGAGGTAAAATCTGTAGATTTTAAACAGTAAATGTGCATTTTTGTTTATTAGTGTTTGTTCTGTGAGTATCATTTTGTCACTTCATTGTCCATTTCAGGTGGATAAAAGGAGGAAACACCATCACTAGGAGTCCAGCTCTACAACCTTCAGCTTTCCTCATTTTAATGAGATGCCTTGTGACTCTTGTGTCACAGTTGGCCTTAGACACAAAAATATTTTTAATAAATAGAAAGACAGCTGACATGTTCCTGGTTTAACAGAAACAAAATCAGATTGACTTTTATTTTATTAAAAAGCCTTTCTTACCTCGGCGATATTGTATTGTCCTTCCTAGGCTTAAACTTCTATGGATTATTCTTATACCTCACCCAGACATGCAGTTTATATATGCTGAATATATTTAGAGTAAAACAGCATTAGTGAAATGTTTTATATGATGCTGATATATGTGTTTTGAGTACTTTTGTGTTTTCCTGTTTGTTTTTCCTGATTCTATTGCAATGTGTCCACATGGGTAAAACTGGCAGCTGTAATAAAGTAACAAAGGTGTTTTACTACATGTGTCCTGCTTCCAGAGGTCTGCTGCAGATCAGATCTTCTTCTTGATGCATTCTCAATCATCCAGGAAAGTAAATCTACAAAAGTTGATTCTGTTCATCTGGACGTAGCGTTTTGTGGGAGAAACGTTTCGTCACTCATCCAAGTGACTTCTTCAGTCTCAGCTGACTGCAGGTTTCCCCAATCTTATAAACAGTACATTTGCATAATGACTGAAACCAGCCCACTGAAGGAACAATGGGCTGGGAGGTCAGTTCTTTAATCTTAATTATGCAAATCCTCATGACATTCTCATGAATTTTCTAAACACCGGGTCTCTGTGGCTTTTAAACCCCAAAACACGCTGCGCCAAAAATTGGTCCACCCCAAGGATCGGGTCCCCCAACACAAACAGAGTAATATAGCGTACGCTGTTAAGTGCCAGGAGGATTGCCAGGATTTATACATCGGGGAAACCAAACAACCTCTGGCGAACACAGAAGAACTACCTCGTCAGGCCAGGATTCTGCAGTCTATTTACACCTACAGGCCAGTGGACACTCTTTCAATGATGAGGATGTACACATCCTGGACAGGGAGGAACACTGGTTTGAGCGCAGAGTCAAGGAGGCCATTTACGTGAAAAGGGAAAGACCATCTCTGATACTCTGTACATCTTTCGCCATCTTACAATGCTGTGATTGCAGCCATTCCCCAACTCTCTGTGAATGGTACTCATGGCCATTGATCAGTTGTCTTTGATCAGTGGGTTTTGGTCAATGTTGTTGATCAATGGTCATGAGAATTGGCATAATTAAGATTAAGGAACTGACCTCCCAGCCCATTGTTCCTTCAGTGGGCTGGTTTCAGTCATTATGCAAATGTACTGTTTATAAGATCAGGGAAACCTGCAGTCAGCTGAGACTGAAGAAGTCACTTGGATGAGTGACGAAACGTTTCTCCCACAAAACGCTACGTCCAGATGAACAGAATCAACTTTTGGAGATCAGATCTTCTTGTAAAGATTGAGGTTTTCTGCAGTTTATTCATTTAAGTTATGTTGATTTGAGCAGTCTGTATAACTCAGGTGATTTTTAAAAACATTTTAATAATAAAATCAAAAAGGATGATTGTCTGCTTTGCATCTATTAACTTAAGCACTACAACTGTTTCCACTAATTCCATTTATGTTGATGTGTCTGCAGTAAAATAGGATAATGTCAGTTAGTGGAAACTGGTATAACTACCAATTGTATTTTGCCACCATTAAAGTTTGTGGATTCTGTACTGCCATTTTATAAAATCCTAATCAGTAAAATTGAAAATCCAGAGCATATGATACCATAAACACACACGCAAATAGTATAGGTTTTCAAAAGTTTTCACAAAAATATTATCTCAATTTAAAATGTAAGCAACTCAACATTATAATTTCAATATAAAGCTGTTTTCCCCTGGTGTTGGTTGTTGTTTGTTTTGTTTTGTTTTGTTTTGTTTTGTTTTGCTTTGCTTTGCTTTGTTTTGTTTTGTTTTGTTTTGTTTTGTTTTGTTTTGTTTTGTTTTGTTTTGTTTTGCTTTGCTTTGCTTTGCTTTGTTTTGTTTTGTTTTGTTTTGTTTTAATTAGCACCGTCCTCCTTATCATACCTGCTTATAATAAAGCCCTGATTAGTAATCCAGCTAGGCTTAAATTTGAAGCATTTGGCACTATGGTTGAAATAAAACAAATATGGAGAAGAATTGGGGCCATTTTTGTCTGAAAATGGTTAGGGATCAAGTATTCGCCTTAAGCACGGATACACATTTTTGACCTTTTGGCTTGCCGTCTGTTGCCGTGGTGATTATGACGCTTGGATGGCTTTTTGAGATTAGCCTCTTTAGCTGGAATATCGACTGCAGAAGTACATCAAGCTTTACCGCAAAGAGCTGTGCGGGTGATAACCTGCAGCCATGGCGTCTGTTTTAGATGCTCTGTGGGAAGACCGAGATGTTAGGTTTGACATCACTGCACAGTAAGTTAATTTGTCACCGCCCGTAGAGGCTAACTGGTTAATGGAGCTTAGCTAAGCTAATTGCCTAGCGTCATTATTTACACCGACACTGTGATGCGAGGTTTTCCTGATAAATATATTAAGTTTAAAGTATTTTCGTTTTTGCGGTGGCTTTATATCGCACGCACTGAGTGCCATTATTGTAATCCATGCTGTTCATAGGCAGATGAAAACACGTCCTGGAGAGGTGCTCATAGACTGCCTGGACTCAATTGAAGATACGAAAGGAAACAACGGAGACCGAGGTGCTTTTGCTACCTTAGAGACTGCAAATATCTAGACCAGATTTGTTATAGTTTAATTTTTTTTTCTTTCTTTTCATTTTGAGTTTTTGACCTCAATTCCATTTCAGTGAGTTGTCCAGCGAGGGTTTACTCGTTACATTTGAGTTTTTTATTGCTTAACATTTTTAGTTTTCAGTCTAACGATGATAACCTTGATGCTGAGAGCTACTAACAAAAATAATAACGGATCATGGTGTTCACTTTTTTCCAGGACGGCTCTTGGTGACAAATTTGAGAATCATCTGGCACTCGTTGGCTCTGCCAAGAGTCAATTTGTGTAAGTACACCTGGATGCCTCCATTATTTGACTTTGTGTTGTATGCATTTTTTTAATCTATTTGAATTGTTTAGTTAAAAGTTTAGAAAGGATGAAGGGAGGGTCGCTATGAAGAGGATATAGAGTAGAAACACAGTTGGTCCAGATGACATACAGTGGGATGCAAAAGTTCGGGCAACCTTGTTAATAGTCATTATTTTCCTGCATAAATCGTTGGTTGTTACAATAAAAAATGTCAGTTAAATATATCATATAGGAGACACACACAGTGATATTTGAGAAGTGAAATTAAGTTTATTGGATTTACAGGAAGTGTGCAATAATTATTTAAACAAAATCAGGCAGGGGCATAAATTTGGGCACTGTTGGTAAATGGCCTATATTTGTATAGCGCTTTTCTAGTCCCTAAGGACCCCAAAGGGCTTTACACAATCAGTCATCCACACACACTAGTGATGGCAAGCTACATTGTAGCCACAGCCACCCTGGGGCACACTGACAGAGGCGAGGCTGCCGGACACTGGCACCACCGGGCCTTCTGACCACCACCAGTAGGCAACGGGTGAAGTGTCTTGCCCAAGGACACAACGACCAAGACTGTCCAAGCCGGGGCTTGAACCAGCAACCTTCCGATTACAAGGCGAACTCCCAACTCTTGAGCCACGATTGCCCCGCCCTGTTGTCATTTTATTGATTCCAAAACCTTTATAACTAATTATTGGAACTAAAATCGGCTTGGTAAGCTCAGTGACCCCTGACCTACATACACAGGTGAATCCAATAATGAGAAAGAGTATTTAAGGGGTCAACCCTGCTCTTTTAATTTTCTCTGAAGAGTAGCAACATGGGGGTTTCAAAACAACTCTCAAATGACCTGAAGACAAAGATTGTTCACCATCATGGTTTAGGGGAAGGATACAGAAAGCTGTCTCAGAGATGTAAGCTGTCTGTTTCCACAGTTAGGAACATATTGAGAAAATGGAAGACCACAGGCTCAGTTCAAGTTAAGGCTCGAAGTGGCAGACCAAGAAAAATCTCGGAAAGACAGAAGCGACGAATGGTGAGAACAGTCAGAGTCAACCCACAGACCAGCACCAAAGACCTACAACATCCTCTTGCAGCAGATGGAGTCACTGTGCATCGTTCAACCATTCGGCGCATTTTACACAGAGAGTGATGCAGAGGAAGCCTTTTCTCCGCCCACAGCACAAACTGAGCCGCTTGAGGTATGCTAAAGCACATTTGGACAAGCCAGCTTTATTCTGGAATAAGGTGCTGTGGACTGATGAAGCGAAAATTGAGTTATTTGGGCATAACAAGGGGCTGGGAATCTTGTTAAAGTTGGATTCCTCTCAGTATCAGCAGATTCTGGAGACCAATGTCCAGGAATCAGTGACAAAGCTGAAGCTGCGCCGGATCTTTCAGCAAGACAACGACCCGAAACACTGCTCAAAATCCTACGGGAACCTACGGGAAGCGTTTAGAGCAGGGGTGCCCAATCCCGGTCCTCGAGAGCTACCGTCCTGCAGCTTTTAGATGCATCCCTACTCCAACACAGCTGAATCAAATGGTTTGATTACCTCTTCAGCATGCCATCGTGTTTGGCAAAGGCCTGATAACAAGCCATTCATTTGATTCAGCTGTGTTGGAGTAGGGATGCATCTAAAAGCTGCATGATAGTAGCTCTCGAGGACTGGGATTGGGCAGCCCTGGTTTAGAGGCTGTAATTTCTGCAAAAGGCGGATCTACTAAATATTGATTTCATTTCTTTTTTTGTGGCGCCCAAATTTATGCACCTGCCTGATTTTGTTTAAACGATTATTGCACACTTTCTGTAAATCCAATAAACTTAGTTTCACTTCTCAAATATCACTGTGTGTGTCTCCTATATGATATATTTAACTGGCATTTTTTATCGTAACAACCAACGATTTATACAGGAAAATAATGACTATTAACAAGGTTACCCAAACTTTTGCATCCCACTGTACCTGTGGAGGAATGGAGATGTCTCGGACAGAGGGGAGTGAACTTTTTCACCAGATTTAAAACAATCATGGCGGATGGAGAAGAAGTGTACTGATAGAGATTTTTAAGAAAAGGGGTGAGGTGCAGAGCTGTTATAACTACAGAAAGATAAAGTTTAGGATCCATACTATGAAGCTATGGGAAAGAGCTGTTGAAGCCAGGTTAAGAAGAGGTTACAATCAGTGACCTGCAGTATGGCTTCATGCTCAGAAAGAACAATAGTGATGTGATGTTAGCTTTGAGAGTGTTGATGGAGAAGGTCAATATAAGTTGTTCTTTGTTGTTTTGGATCAAGAGAAAATATATGGTAGGTTGGCCAGAGAAGAACTGTGCTACTGCTTATAGGAAGTCAGGATTGACAAAGAAGTATGTGAAGATGGTTCAGGACATGTACGAGGACTGTGAGACAGTGGTGAGTTGTACGGTACGAGTCAGAGATTGTATATGTGTGGGAATGAAAAAGGTGACAGGTTTAACAGTGAAGCAGCAGTAGTGAACGTGGATAAGTTTAACTACCTGGGGTCAACCATCCATAGTGATGTACGTTCCACAGGAGAGGAGAAGAAGAGAGTGCAGAAGAGTGAAAGGGAAGGTTTGCAAGATGTCAGTGAGACCTGATATGATTTATGGTTTAGAGACACAGGCAGTGACAAACAGACAGGGGGCTGAAGTTTTTCTTTTTTGTTTCAGCTGTAGGTTACAACACCATCATTAACATCACAACAAGGACAGCCAACTCAGTAAGTAAACTCGTTTTACCTGTGCGTTTTGTTTCTGTTTTAAACTATTTGTTCAGAATGTTTTTACACTTCCTCACATCAAAAATATTTAATTTCATTAACACTTCTTAACTGATGCACCTTAAGTGTGCCAACAGGTTTTTTTTATCCATTATTCACATAAAGTGGACAAATGTCAAACCTGTAGGACAAATTACGGCAGCATTGTTTTTTTGTTGTTGTTGTTTTTTGGGGTTTTTTTTGACGTGCTAAGAATTAAAGTGTATAAAAGTGTTGGTAATTTAGGAAGTAATTACTCTCTTCCAGAAATTAAGAGGTCAAACTGAAGCTCTCTACATCTTGACCAAGTCCAACAACACGAGATTTGAGTTTATTTTTACAAATGTGGTTCCAGGAAGTCCGAGGCTTTTCACCTCTGTCATCGCTGTCCACAGGTAAAACAGCACTGAGGGAGTTTTTAAATTATCTATCAAACATACATCTTTCTCATTGTTTTAAAATGTGACTTGTGTTGTTACAGAGCCTATGAGACTTCCAAAATGTACCGGGACCTGAAACTGCGAGCTGCACTGATTCAAAATAAGCAGCTTAGACTCCTGCCCCGCGAGCAAGTGTATGATAAAATTAATGGAGTCTGGAATTTATCCAGCGATCAGGTACTAGTGTGACTTTTAAAATATTTGTTTAGTGTTTCTCAGATAATATGCACGCACGGACAAGTTACCACATTGTTTTAAAGAAGTATTTACAGGCGATTGAGATGTTTTTGTGAAGAGCTGTTTGATTGATTTTATTTAATTCCAATACATATCCCAAACCAATAAATATCACAGACAAACACATGTAAGCATATTAAGACGCGCATGATAGTGTGCGTGCAGTAAGTACCAGAAACGCAAAGATCAACTTATTTCCATTGTTTGTTTGTTTTAAGCGGTTCACATTTAAATTATGACAGTTAAAAAAAAATGTGAAAACATATTATAGAAAATAATCTCTAAATATGTGAAAGTGAGTTTCCTTTGATGACGCTGTGTTTTAGGGTAACCTTGGAACCTTTTTCATTACCAATGTTCGGATTGTGTGGCACGCAAACATGAATGAGAGCTTCAACGTCAGCATTCCTTACCTCCAGATTGTAAGTACAGTCAAGGTCCTTCTAGAAGCAATTGTTACCACTTGGCAAACATCTTGGCAAAAACTACAGTGTAGGCAATTGTTTCTGCAGTTAATTTAAAGTAGCTTTCTAAATAAATAGGAGAAGAACTGTTTGATTATCATGTCAGTGATCACTGAGATATAATAAATACAGAATCGCAACTGAAATCTGATTAAATCTGCTTTAAAAGTTTGACACTCTGATTGTTAGATTTCTGTTACACACAACACACAACATTATAGTTTAATTCCTAGTTCAACCCAGTTTGCCTACATCTTATCAGAGTATGTCATGTGAATGGACACAGTCAGCCAGGAACAAATAATAAGTACACATCTGTATCTTTACCTTCGTTAGGCGTGGATATGATTGCCACCACATGGTTAAAATTGTCCTGAACACGATTGACTCACATATTTCCCAAACAGAACTATATGATTTTTATTCAGGGAAATGTTTCTCTCATAAAATGTTTCTAGTAAAGCTCGAACAATCAGTCATTGTCTGTAAATGCATTTTATGTGTTTACGATTATAAAACACACTCAGTAGCCACTTTGTTAGGTACATCTCATCAAGTGTAGTCCATAAGAGCACATTTGGGTTGTGGTGGAACTGGAGATTCTCATCACGGACATGCCGCTGACAAATTTGCTGCAACTGTGTGATGCTGTTGCGTCAATATAAACCAAAATCTGTGAGCAATGTTTCCAGCATCGTATTGAATCTATGCTACAAAGAATTAAAGCAGTTTCCACCGGTACTTGCAAGATATACCTAATAAAGTGGTCTGCCACATAAATCAGAAGTCTTATTATTCGTTTCTCTTATGAAGTAATGTGTCCTGTTCAATGCAGATCAGGATGGTGTATAACATATTTTATTTCCTCTCAAGTGGTCTATCAGAATAAGAGACTCAAAGTTTGGCTTGGCGCTGGTGATAGAGAGCTCACGCCAGGTAACTTCTATGCAATGTCATTTACAGTCTTCTGATATAATTCTATTATTGGGACTTTCTTCTTTAGTTTTTGGTCTTCTAATATACCAAAATATCCACTTTGTGATTTTTAGAGTGGTGGGTACGTGCTTGGGTTTAAGATTGACCCAGTGGAAAAACTCCAAGATGCACTCAAAGAAATCAACTCCTTGCATAAAGTGTACTCTGCTAACCCCATCTTTGGAGTGGATTATGAAATGGAAGAAAAGGTAGGCATACATACACAATATAAGAATCACAAACTCAAAAATAGCCTGCAAGCCTATTTTTGAGTTCACAGCCGTTAAGGAGATATTTTAATGTAGCTGGCTTTCCCGGCTCTTCAGCTGATCGTGTTGTCATAGCACTGTTTGTCCTAACAACAATTTCAGCCGCAGCCTTTGGAAGAGCTCACAGTGGAACAGCCTCCCGATGACGTGGAAATCGAGCCCGATGAGCAGACCGATGCATTTACTGTGAGTGTGCCTGCTGGCAACCCTTACACTCATCACTCGTCTGGGAATCAAAGGTTTAGCTTTCACACTCTCAGAATAGCTATTAGCTAATATCCTCCAGCATAATGAACAAACATGAATTTATGTTGCCTGGCGCTCGTGTCTGGGAGTCATCAACTATTTACTACAAGCAGAATGCTTTATTTTAATTTACATTAGCTTTTTTAACTACATGTGCTCATGTGTTTGGTTGCAGGCCTACTTTGCAGATGGCAATAAGGTAAAATCTCAATATATATAATAATACAATCATGACAGCTTGCTATAAAACTTAAAAAGTGCTATAAACCTGATTTCTGTTTTGTTTTCCCAAAGCAACAAGACCGTGAGCCAGTTTTCTCTGAGGAGCTCGGCCTCGCCATTGAAAAGCTAAAGGACGGCTTCACTCTTCAAGGGCTGTGGGAAGTAATGAGCTGAGATAACATCAAACACATGTACATATTTTATGTAGTTGTTCTGCTTGTATAGACAATATTGCTTATAGCTCTGGTTAAAAGATGTACAGGTTTGCTGAGTGCAGTTTCCTAAAAAAGAAAAGTAAATTGTGACGTTTACTATATAAAACATTTTCTTGTAGTGAACTTGAATGTAATATAAATAAAGATATTCAAACAGATGGTGGAAAGTAAATTCTTTGATGTCTTTATATCTTTTGTAGCTACTGTGTGTGTGTAAGGGACACAATGGTCTGAGAACAGGCCTTGAGCTCCTGTGGCTGCAGCTGTTCGCTGACCCCCGGCTGCTTGTTTGGTAACTCCTGTGGAAATGCCTCACACACCGACACGGGCTTGCACACTGTAGCGTAGAAGTCATTACTATCACTGAATTCTGACTCACTCCACATGTAGACGTCCCTGCTCACAGCTGTGGTATAGATGCCAGCTGTTTGTGTAAACCTGCAGAGCACTGGATTGCACTGTGGTGCCACTTTGTTTAAAAAGTGTTTTGTGTGGATTTTTTTTTTTTTTTAATTTAGTCAAAAGTGAATAAAATAAGGAGATGATGTGTTTTTCTGTTTGGTTACAACAATGTTGTTACTAATCTTTCGGGGTGACGAGGCACATCAGTTGTTTTTACTCCATGACAGCTGTGTGAGCGCACTGCTTTGGCCAACCTGAATTCTTCATGGATGGGGTGTTTGGCTATATTTAGAGGGGCACAGTTATATTGAACTGGCTTCAGACCTGCCTGTCTATAGTTCTGTCTTCACCAGCAAGGACGGTCAGTTTTCCCTTACTTGAATCTACTTCCTGTCCCACAAGAATGGATCCCCAAGGTTTGAGGGAAGATCTTCGTCTGTTTCAGAGCACTTTGCTCCAGGATGGGCTCAAGGAGCTTCTCAATGAGAATAAATTGATTGACTGTATCCTAAAGGTCGGAGACAGAAGCATCCCCTGCCATCGGCTCATTATGGCAGCATGCAGTCCTTATTTCCGGGAGCTCTACTTTTCAGAGGACGGTAAGGAATCAAGCCAAAAAGAGGTTGTTCTTGAGAACCTTGACCCCAATATTATGGAGGTGATTGTGAATTACATGTACTCAGCAGAGATTGACATCAACGATGACAACGTGCAGGATATTCTGACTGCTGCCAATCGCTTCCAGATTCCCTCAGTGTTCACAGTTTGTGTGAATTATCTCCAGAAAAGGCTGAACAAGAAAAGCTGCCTTGCCATCTACAGACTGGGACTGATGCTGAATTGTGCCAGATTGGCAATGGCGGCTCGAGATTACGTCGCAGATCACTTTGAAACCATAGCCAAGGATGACGATTTCTTGGGGCTTGCTCCACCTGAACTCTTTGCCATTATCGGAGCAGATGCGCTCAATGTGGAAAAGGAAGAAGCGGTGTTCGAGTGTCTCATGAGGTGGATCAGAAAAGACAAGGACAAGCGTGTGAAGTCTTTGGTGGAGGCCTTTGACTTCATCCGTTTCCGACTGCTGCCGGAGAAGTACTTCAAGGAGAAAGTGGAGAAAGATGACCTCGTCAAGGCTGATCCTGAGCTCCAGAAAAAAATCAAAATCATCAAGGAAGCCTTTGCGGGGAAGCTACCTGAGAAGAAAAAGGGGCAAGATGCAGAGGAAGGAGAGGAGGGGAAGCTGCCCGGTTACCTGAATGATAACCGCAGATATGGCATGTATGGCAGAGATGTGGTTCTGATGATTAACGACACAGCTGCGGTGGCCTACGATGTCCAGGAAAATGAATGTTTTCTGGCAGCAATGGCTGAGCAAATCCCCAAAAACCACGTCAGTCTGACAACAAAGAAGAACAACCTGTATGTGCTGGGAGGACTGTTTGTGGATGAGGACGAGAAAGAGAATACCCTGCAGTGTTACTTCTACCAGGTAGAAAGTGCTCCTTTAATTCATATTAAAGCAACAATTTGAATCTTTTTCTTAATCCGAAATCATTGTTTGCAGTTGGACAGTCTTGCTGCTGAATGGATCGCTCTGCCACCCATGCCCTCCCCCAGGTGTCTCTTTGCTATGGGTGAATTTGAGAATCTCATCTTTGCTGTAGCAGGAAAAGACTTACAGACCAACGAGTCTCACGACACCGTCATGTGCTATGACACCGAGTAAGTTCAACACATTTTACAAAAGCCTTGCTTCACGGTTCTGCATTGAACATTTCCTATTCCCTTATTATCTGCGTCAACAGAAAAATGAAATGGACAGAAACAAAAAAGTTGCCCTTAAAAATCCACGGCCACTGTGTGGTCTCTGAGAACGGGCTGGTATACTGCATTGGAGGAAAAACCGATGAGAAGTAAGGCTGCAAATACCCCAAATATTTACACGTTAAGTCAAACCACGATTTTCACATGTTATTAACGCTTCCCTGGAATCGTTTCTGTCTGTTAATAAAGTAAAGCAATCAATAAGATGTTTGCATACAACCACAAGAAGTCAGAGTGGAAAGAGGTCGCTGCCATGAAGACACCCAGATCCATGTTTGGCACTGTTATCCACAAAGGAAGGATCATTGTTGCTGGAGGTGTCAATGAAGAAGGCCTGACAGCTGTGTGTGAAGCCTACGACTTTGGGACCAACAAGTAGGTGCTGCTAATATAAACCATACAAGTTCAGATTTAGATTTTCTGAGTTGTAGAAGATATAGATACTGTTAAAAACATAAAAATAGATTCACTAAAAACTGTTTTCACACTACCATTAAAAGGTTTTACACAACCCCCCATTTTTTTCTGTTTTTAAATCAAACATGAGCAGCCAATGTCCAGGAGACAATATTAAACAGTACAAAGGTGAGCGGTAATCCAACTGGAGTAATCTAACTGGAGTAAATAATGATTATTGACAAATTAAAGATTCAGGGCAAAGTCAAAAAATGAAAAGCCCTTCATTTTCATGGAGAAATGGGGCCTGTCATTAAATTAAATTCAGTTGTATTTATATAGTGCTAATTCACAACAACCGTCCCTTCGAGGTGTCTCTCGTAGATTAAGAAAATGATGAAGTTACAATAAAGTAATTTAAGCCTTGTTCACACAACAGAGGCAATGCTGGAGAAACCTGTGTTACTACACCCTCTGATGCCCTGCAGAGGCATTACCTCTGCAGGAAGTAGAACTTTATTTTGATATTAGAATGATTACAAACATTAGACTGCAAGATAATAACCCCTAAACATAAAAAGAACTGCATGGTTGACTAAAAATGATGGACAACCAGCACTATCTCTGAAAATAACCCCCCTTGGAAGTGTTCTTTTATGAACTGGACAGAAAGATGAAAGGATTTAGTTTCCCTGGGACAAACTGCAGTAGGGTCTTTAATGCTCTTGGCAGATTGTTGTGGAGCTTACCCCAGCTGTCACTCGTTGAGAGGTGGGTGCACCCTGGATAAGTCGCCTATTTATCACAGGGCTAATACAGAGAGACAAACTTTTCAGAATACATCTACAACCAATTTAGAATCACCAACTAACCTAACATGCATGTTTCTGGGCTGTGTGAGGAAGCAAGGACTTTGCAGACATGACACGAGTGGTATCTGAAAAAAGCGTTTTGATGAGAGAAAAGGCATTCTGTAAGGCCTACAAAGCTCATTTTTAATTAGATCTTTCAGGAAATTAAAAGCACACAGGAATTGCTTCATGTTACATTTATGTGCATCTTCTTGCAGGTGGACACCATTTACAGATTTTCCACAGGAGAGGAGCTCAATCAACCTGGTGAGCTGTGGCGGACTGCTGTATGCCGTAGGAGGCTTTGCTATGGTGGAGAATGAGAACAAAGAGTGTACACCCTCTGAAGTCATTGACATCTGGCAGTATGTTTTTTTATTTTACTTTTGCATTATGTATTACAGTATCTACATGATATTTATTTTATTTCGGGGGGACAAAATATTTTAATTCATTTATACTTATTTTGACTCTTTTTTTTTTTTAAATAGCTATGAAGATGACAAGAAACAGTGGACTGGCATGATCAAAGAGATGCGTTATGCAGCCGGAGCCTCGTGTGTCTCTATGCGCCTGAATGCAGCCAGAATGCCCAAACTGTAACAACACATCATGCATGTTCACTGTTACTGATGCAGGATAGAGAATACTCTGTACATGTTTTTATTCAGCAGGTTATTTTTCTCATTTTCACACATGCCTGCCCTTCTTTAATAAAATGTACCATCATGTTATAAAGTTTTAATGACCGAGTGCTACTTTAGGCTGCCAGCATGTGATTAGAGTCCACACAGAAAAATGGTTTCATTACTCTACGCGTACCTGATTTCAGTTCTCATACATAGTGTCCATGTGTACCTCCAAACCTTCTTAGTAGAGCTTCTACTTTTAGAAGTCCTGCACAAAATCCTTTCTCTAGATTTCTATTTTGGGTAAAAGGAAGAAGCAGCAAGGGGCAAAATCTGGTTCTGTGACACTGGAACACATTATTTGTGCATTAGTCTTTGATGTGACTCTTTCACTGAAAGCTGCTGTTTGTTGCCTGATCATCCTCAACATTTGCAGAGAGCCCATGCAAGCACATAGAGGAATAAAAAAAAGGATAGGCGTGCTGAAAGTGATCTTGAAGAGTAGATCAGTGTTTAAACTTTTTTAAGTGAATCTCATTTTAATTGTGGATGATTAAATTATGTACTAGTGCATTTTACTGTGCTCATGGACCACAATCTGAGAACCCTCGCTCTATAGCACATCTGAGAATTCCCCAACACATGGTTTTCTTTTATAGTATTGAAATCAGTCACAAATATTGCATGGCTCTTTGGTATTTTAGACACGTTGGTGTTTTAAGAGGTCAACATCATGTATGCAGAAAAATAAAAGCAACTTTAAAAAAAAAAAAAATCTAAATACTGTTGGATGTGTGATCCCCTGATTGCAAAAACTCAGGAGTCCACTCTTGTGTGGCCCTGTGCAATCTGACACGTGTCAGCATAAACATATAATGATGCATTAAAACACTAGTTCTAAGTAACAGATATGCAATGATGTTTAAAAGCCGGACAGTCATTTTTTGCAAAAGTTCACTGATCTAAATATTGAAAATATAAAGCAAAAATACAATTTTTCAGATTTTATTTAGAAAAAAAATCGTATTAATTACAAAAGCACATAATACACAATCTCATTTAAGGTGAATGAGGTAGACTCATGTCAACTTTAGACTATAATTAAATATGTGGGGAGTTTCTGTGCTGTGTGTTCAGTCACAGAAACTCCGACTTCGGTGCTGAAAGCAACATTTCAATCATGATTTTATAAATAAGGGCTTTCGGGAGGAACGCTATCTGAATATCTTCTTTTTTAGATATTCCTTCCAGGCATCCTGTGTTGAAAGCTCCATAGAGTTCCATTCAAAGTGAGGGATCTGCAAAACCGAAACATCACCAATTACTGCACAGCAGGTCTATTGTAATATTGCTAGTATTTAAACTGGATGCAGTTAGAGAACGACATTTAACATCAACCAGAGTAAAACTGTCTCACCTGAACAACACGGTATCCCAGAATTTCAAGGTGTCTCTTTCTCATCAGGGCTTCACCTTTCATGTGATGAGTGTTTTTGCAGAAGTACTTTGAATCAAGAAAGTCCACAGCGACACTGAGAAAAAGGCAAAGTGAGGATGTCAACATACTAAGTATCCTTGATCTGTGTATATACAAGTACATATAAGGATCTCCATACCGCTGAGCTCCAGTTGGAAGCTCATCCCTGATGTTTTCCAGTGAGCTTGTGTCCCAGTGAACTTTTCCTCTGTCTGAGATCTGCAGTGTGCTTGGCTCGATGTAGGACAGCGGCTTCAAGTGTTTGTCCAGTTTGCATTCAAAGTCTGAAAAAGACAAAGTGACGTGTCGTGTTTTTAAAAATGAGACTGCGTGACAACCTCATGTGCAGAGCTCCTCGAGAAAGAAGGAAATCTGGATCAGGATTTGTCTATGGTATTTTCCTGAGAAAGTCAAGATTATGTCTCCCAGTTACACCATTGCAATTTGTGATGATCTTTCAGGATTTCTTTAAAATAAAATCTAAGAGACTACCTTTTGCACACCTGAGGCCTGTACTATGAAGCTATTATCTGGTCACCCTAACACTTAATATTAGGGTTAAATGGTCACAAAAAGGTAGTTATCAACTTGCGAAGTTAACCCTCCCCCATGTTCATAAGAAAGGGGTGGCACTGGCAGCATCGGACCAATCACAATTACTGGTGAGTGTACTGGCAACAGAACAACTGATTGTTAACCCTTAAGTTATCTGGATATGACAAAATCCTCCTTTGTAGTACAGGCCCTGTGGTGCTGATTGAAGACTGCTTCCTACCATGTGTCATATGCATGTCGTTTCAAACCAGAAATGTAATATAACTATATGAAAGGCTTTTGATTAGGAGTTAAACTGATAATATTCGAACTGAATCAGTCCATTCAATACATTTAAAGACTTTTACAAAAGAAAAACAGTGTAAGAAAATACGGTCACCTCATATTACTCACCTATGGTGTAAAAATATGGCGTAAAAACTGCCATTTGCACACAGTTAATGCCTCCAAGAACTTCACCCAGCAGTTTGTGGATCTGCTGCTGCACAGGACTCACAGAGCCACTCCCTAAAAACAAACAACTCCCATGTAACTGATATAGCATTAAGTTGCAGCAGTTTTAAACCAAGCCTACATAAAAAGAGAAAATTTGATTTCAGGGCATCCTCTTACCTTTCCTATGCAACTGCTGGCAGTAGCGCTCATGAAACCAAGGCACCTGGTACTCCGGACACTCGAGAGACACGGCACGGTTGAGCTCCATGAGCCGCAGTCGTGTCCGCATGTTGAGCGCATTGGACAGGGCTGGAGGAAGCAATATAAACACTTATATTAGTCCCATCTGATTTCACTATGGAAGCTGTGGCACAGATGCTCAAATTTAAGGAAACTGGCAGCTTACTTTCCAGTTGTGAATCCAGCTTTCCCAGAAAGTCTATGCTGAAAATTACTCTGATCAGTTCCTCGGGAAAATGGTCAGCTACAGCCAAGGAGTATGCCAGGAGGACCAGCAGATGTGGGTCAAAGGAGCCTACAAGTACATACAGTGAGTGTAAGCCTAAAATAAGAAAGAAAAATTATCTGCAATCACACATAAAAACTTACTGAGATGAGGAGTGAAGCGCTTAATACAAGCATCATACAGCTCGTCTACTTGCGGAGGGTCATAGTTAAGGACAGAAAAGGGGAGGAGTGTGGCGTATGTTTCCGAGTAGTGAATCTTAAAAAAAGAGACATGAAGAATAGAGGATGTCAGTATGCAGTATTTAACATAGTGATCCAATGAATGTCTCTTGAAGCACCTTATGGATGTGTTCAACAGTCACACTGGCGATTCGGTCCATCAGAGGAGGGCTGAGATGATTTATCCTGTTTAGGAAGAAGGCCAGTTTGGGGACGTTGGTCCAGTTTATTTGGTCGATCATCCTCTGCAGCGTGATCATGGTCTCGTCCAGCAGCATTTCCTCAAACCACTCCCCCGAGACGTACTTGAGCTCGTCCAGCAGTAAGTCCAGCCGGTTGGCTGTTTGCAGCCTCTCGTGCCCGCAGCGGTTCAACGTCTGCAGCAGACGCACGTACTTGCTGTGAGTGTTGTGGCGGTAGGACTGATCGTTGCGCACCCACTTGGCCACGGCAAAAGAAATGGTGTTAAGCTCGCTGAGATTACACTGCTCCACTACCGCGTCTACCCGAGAGACCACGGCCTCCTCGAGTCGCGGGCAGGGCAGCATGGAGAGCACACGGGTCAGTTCGTACGGGAAGACGCTGTGCTCCAAAAACCTGAGAGACAGAAGGGCGTCAGTCTGCATTTTATCCAAATAAACTGTGAAGCAGCAGTTGCGCCTTTGGCAGAGACTTACTTGATCAAAATGTTTCTCAGTGTGGCGAAGAGCTCGGGGTTTTGATACTGCAACAGAAAAAGGGCTTGTGTGATTCTGGCCACCTCCACTGACTTGTAGAGGTGAAGGTTTCTCTGGATTACCGATGCAATTCTGAAAAATGATTAGTTATAGTTACTGATTATCTCTACTGTCAGGCTACAAAGGCTCTGATCCAGGAACTGATTATAAGACACACCACACACAAGGTGAAGACAACACCAGGCATACTGTAACAGGTGGTAACACATAAACAACTCACTTGTTCATTAAGCTAAGGTTCCTGCTCTGAATCTCTTCTAGTGCTTCAGCTACAGCCAGTGCCTGCTGTGCATTGAGCTCATCCGCCAACAAGAGGGCTGTGTTCTCCAACCTGGAAAGAATCAAAGTGGATATCAGGTCAGTGGGAACTGCTTTAAAGAGATTTCCCCTCATATCACGCTACTGATAATGAAACAAACCTTTCTCTGATCTCTGGAGTGGCCATAGGGGCCAGAGCAACAAACAGTTTGGTGAAGGAGAAAGGATCGATGCTCGAGTCGATCAGCTCGGTCAGCCTTTGTTTAGCAGCTAGCCTGAAGTCACAGTTCTTGAACTGCAGTGACTGATACAGCCCTAGGATGATGCTGAGATTCACTGCATCCAGTGTGGGGATGTTACGCAGGAAGATCTCATTGCACCTCTCCAGCAGCGGTCTGTGAATGTACTTGATGTTGCGCAGAAACTGCACCATTCGTCGCGGGATGTTGTAATTTGAGGGATCCGTGGTGTGCAGCAGGTGATCGGCTCTGCTGATGAGAGCGTCCCGCAGCTGGGGAGACACCAGGGATGACACGCTGATCATCAGAGCAGCCAGGATCCTGAAACATAATAAAGCCGGGGGGAGTGACGACACAACAAGAGGTGGTTATATTCAAAACACTGATAAATCATGGGTCGCCCAACAAACCTGGCATCATCAATAGTTGGCAGCCTCTCATTCACAATGCTGGTTATGCGCCCCATTAGAGGACTGTGCTGAAGGTGCTGATCATTTAAGCAGACAGCAAATTTGGACAGAGAAGCCATTGGAAACCTGCAAAAAAGTAAATCATGACTGTGTTTTAACCATTACACAATTTTCTTTTTTTTAAATTAGCCAACATTTTCTTACCGGTCTATTCTTAGCCATGCTTCTGAAACCAGTTGCTGAATAAGAGAGTCATGTGGCTCCATATTCAGCCTATTAGAAGGAAAGCATGCGTGTTAACCTTTGCAGTCATATAATCTGAATACACTGGATAATGTGTGACCGTGTACCTAAGAAAAGCGTAGAGGATATCGATCAACATGAAGTCATCCATGAGATCTATTTTGTTTTCTGCCAAAACCCGAAGAGTCTGGAACTGTTGGTGACTCTTGATGAGGTCCACAGTCCGGAGCATGTCCGGTCTATCCCTCTGAAATTTCCACAGCAACTGCACAGCATAGTTCACGTGGTCCACTGTGAGCTTAGCCTTGTTCTTGCCCACTACATCAAACACATGGTTTTCAGCAGAGCACACCTGCAGCTGCTCCAGCACCTGGTCTCTGGTCACCGCCCCTCCATGAAGGAGCCTACGGAGGCAGGAGTTCACAGATCGGAGGCGAAACATCATCGCAGGCTTGGGCTCAGCTCTTTATTGTACCTGTGTCCACTGCTCTGACCTCCTCAAAGTGAGCTGAGATCAAACCCCACACAGTTACAGCCTGGAGGGATGAAAACAACCTGCATGACATGGTCTGCGAAAACACAAAAACATTTCAAACTATGCTCAGAAACAAACACTGACTCGGGATGAGGGGCTGACCTCTTTAACCAAGAAGCTGGTGAAGAAACTGTCCGCTCGGAGGCTTTCTACTGGTAACCACTGGACTGAAGTGGAGGCTGCTGCCTCACGTGTTTAAAGAAGCAATCACCTAAACCCCCCAACAACCTCGGACTTGCCCTTACAGCTGCATTCTTGCCTAGATTTCTGTGTATAATCGAGATTCGTGCATCACATATCTTAATACAAATACAAAAAGGTAATAAAAACGGCTCAAAGTCAAATTTACCCTACATGTGTGCGCTGAAGTTTTACTTCCGTAGCAGTGACATAAGGCAATGAGAGTTTATTAAACCCTGGATTAGGGCTTTCAGGCAGTGGCTCTTCAGGTTAAATGATTTCTTGCAAATCAATCAATCAATCAATAGAAAAAGGTAAAATATGATAAAACATATTTTGTTTTATTTTATGAAAGTTTGTTTCTGGTGATGGAAAAAAAACTTTACCCAGGCAAAGCTTTGTCGAAGTTTTGACTTAATGTGTCAAAATCCTTGTTACTTTTGAGTAAATTAAAATGTTGAAATGCTTAAATGCTCAAAATTTATAGTTATCCAATCGAAATTTGAAGATGCTAAACCGTAATTGTGTCTTATGAATAAAATAAACAGTAGCAGAAAGAGCTTCTAAATTGTTAATTATTTGTTAGTCATTCAAAATGTTACTTGTTTACAGTAACCAAAACATTGAACCGACCGTATAACAAAGTAGCTCAAATAAAGTAGAATTGCTCAGTAACATAAAATACAATATGACAAGACAAAATTGCGCAATAAACTATGGATATGAAGTGGTCACAATTTTTAGCAACATGAAACGGCAAATGTAACTGGTTTTATGCCATTGCAGAAAAGTCACTCGGCAGCTGAATCGAGCATTTGCGCCTGCCAGGCCAGTTTCAGGGTAAAAATGCCCCTTGGCGCTGACCGGTGCACGGCTCTGGAAACACATTGACGTCCTCGCCGCGCCATCTTTAGAAAACACTGAGCCCAGCACTGAATGAAACTTCATTTTGCTTGTTTGGGAGAGCTGCTCGCCTTACGGTGCGGTATATTCGGTTTTCCAGGTGATGTACTGTTGCGTCAGTCTTACTTTTATGCGCCGTTTAAACTTGCTGAAAATGTACCGCTCACTTCTTGCAGTAAATTCTATGTACATGTCTGCAGCTAACGATAGGTGACTTGCTAATGCTAATGCTAACGCTAGGCCTGCCGTTAAAAAGATACGGTGGGGGGGCGTGTGAAACTGTAACATGAAGGTCCACGTTAGTGAGTGTGTGTAAGCGTCGGTATTTGTTATTTTTAAGCATGAAAACGTGTGTCTGCTGTCCGCTCAACCAGTCGACCGATACTTAATCGCGCGGTTAGCTAGCCGAGGCTAATTTGCAGATAATGCAGCTGCTATAAGTCGCATGGGAACTGTATCGGTACTTTGTTTGTATTGATATCATGCAGGCGAACAGAACTCAAGTGAACTTTTATGTTACATTTAAAGAAGCCACCCGTGTGTTTAATTTCTGCTCCTGAATGAAGTTACTGGTAAGGTCTTAATGGTCAGAGTGGGGGTTGTTCGATGTTCTGTCATCCTTGTGTTCATACCTTGTTTCTCATTTTCAGGTGATCATGGGGATCAAGGTACAGCGCCCTCGCTGCTTCCTTGACATTGGAATCAGCAATGTACTTGGTAAGAAGGAGAAAATTCTGGCTGCTTTTTGGTACTTTAAGCCTTGTGTGGTTTACCAAGAAAACACACGTGGTTTATTTTCTTTCGGTCTTCTTTCAGTTTGTGGGGGGGTTTGCCTGTACTGAATAGAACAGGGCAAACAGGAGGGTGGGAAGAGAGTGAGGGGACAGACAGCAAGCTGTTAAACCCAAGTCCCCTGCAGTGAGGACTATAGATGGGTTGCATGATCAACCAAGTGAGCAAAACATCACAGTTAATTCATAGTCTGAAGATGAGGTTAATGCTGACCAAAACAAGCTAGTCAGCAGCTGGCAAAGGGAAAAATATGGATGTCAAAAAATGTGACAAGTGAAGGCAATAATCTTTAGCTTTGTTCAGCAGTACTCTGTAATCTGCCCTTAAAGACATGAATGGGGTAGTAAAATGTTTCAGTATATGAACACTACACACTGTTTATTAAATTTGCTGAAAATAGCCTCAGTGTAGTCTGGAACTACATCAATGCCAGTTTATATTATATTGTTAGATGAAAGCTCCATCAGGGTTCAATTTGCACACATCTACACAGTCCTTTTATTAACATTATTTCCATTTCCTGTTCAGATACTGAACTCTAGACCAGGAAAAACTTCTTTTAGAAGCGCTAGTGGATTTTATTTTATTTTATTTTTTTGTGCATTTTCTGCAAGAAAGTGAGCAGTCTTGTGTCATCACAAATCTTACCATCCTTACTATTAATCAAGGCATTTGATGTGTACTAGTAAATTTAAAAATTAATTACTTTTTGTGCGCCTATAACACCTGGTTTTTTGTAAAATGGGTGTTTGTATAGATTAAATTATAATCATTAAACTCACAGACTGACAGTGCAGTGAATGGATGCATAACCTCATCTGTTTTGTTTTTCTTTTTCTTGTTTGGTTTAAAAGATTATTGTGTTGTGTGATGATTAACTCGGTGATTCACGCTTCTTGTAACCACTGATCAGTGTGCTCCATTGTACTTTACACAGAAGTAAATTTCTCTGATCTCACTGTCTCCTCACAGTTGGCAGAATCGTGGTGGAGCTGTTTGCAGACGTCTGTCCCAAAACTTGTGAAAACTTCAGATGTCTCTGCACAGGTGAATGAATTTACTCAATAAAACTATTCCACAAATGATGACAATTAACAGCACAGGTTATTAATCAGATCTGTGGTTTGGTCCAGGTGAGAAAGGCATTGGGAAGGGAACTCAGAAACCGCTCCACTACAAAGGATGCCTTTTTCATCGAATTGTAAAAGACTTCATGATTCAAGGAGGAGACTTCAGCGAAGGTGAGTTTACAGGACTTGTAAATTTTATATTCGACATGGAAGGATGGTGTTACTTATGAGTCAACAGATTTTTTCATGGTTCATGTTTTTTTGTTGGTTTTTTGTTTTTTTTTAATCATAGGTAATGGAAGAGGAGGCGAATCCATTTACGGAGGCTTTTTTGAAGGTAAGGAGGCCACTGTGAATGCCATCAGTTATTATCCAAACTGACATTGGCTTCAAGATGTCAGTACAATCTTCTCCTTTTCCCCCCCAGACGAAAGCTTTGCAGTCAAACACAACAAGGAGTACCTGCTGTCAATGGCCAATCGGGGTAAAGATACAAATGGATCCCAGTTTTTCATGTAAGCAACATCTGTTCCTACCTGTAATTGACCTCGTGCATTATCAGTTGCATTTCTGAACTTTGAAAGTGATTAGATGCTTCTTCTTCTTTTCTTTTTTTTCCCTTGAATGTCCTGCTTTCACATCTCAGAACAACAAAACCTTCTCCACATCTCGACGGGTAAGTGCCTCCCAACTACATTTTGAATTATTAATTAATCCCATTATGCACAATGCACGCAGCATGTAATGAGGCATTGCTACCACTTTATTTTCTCAGTGTGCATGTGGTTTTTGGTCACGTGATCTCTGGCCAAGAAGTCATTCAAACCATGGAGAGCCAGAAGACGGACCCCAACAGCCGACCGTACGCTGAGGTGAAAGTTTTGAACTGTGGAGAGCTCATCCCCAAATCTAAAGGTGTGTTTAAATAAAGTATATTCAAAGTTTTTTGTTTGTTTGTTGTTGTTGTTTTTTAATGAGTTTCAGTCATCATAATAATGCTGTTTATGTTGTTGCAGCAAAAAAAGATGCAAAAAAGAAGAAGAGGGCCTCATCAAGCTCCAGCAGTAGCTCCAGTGACTCGGAGATCTCCTCAGAGTCGTCCTCCGAGAGCGAAGAGTCAGAAAAAGAATCCAAGAAGCGGAAAAAGAAGGCAAAGAAGCAAAAAGAGAAACAGAAGGAGGACAAGAAGAAGTACTTCATTTATTTTCACCTATTCACTGTCTGCTGTGTAAATGGCACCAAGTGTCTTGCTACTGACCCACAAAATCTTTACAGATCAGAAGCTGAAAGTGCTGAAGAGAAGGAACAAGATGAGTTGGTTACATCTACAGTGCGTCCTGAAGAAATCCCACCCATCCCTGAAAATCGATTCCTTATGAGGATAAGTCCCCAGATAGCCCAGAAGCCAAAAGAGGAGGTTAACAAGGATCAGCGAAATAAAGACGAAAGACCAAGAGAAAGGTGTGTTTGAGAGTCAGCCAATATCACAAATATCAAAAAGTAATACAGTTTGTTCATTTTCACGCCTTCTCTCACCTACAGTACTGGTGCAGCTTACAACTCTCAATCAACATATCACAGAAGACTCGTGATGACTCGATCTGGCAGGAAGATAAAAGGCAGGGGTCCAAGGGTAGGTGGACCAAACGTTTTGCACACTTTACGTCATACAGCAAGATTTATTTATAACAAGCTTTGTTTTGTTTTTACTTATGCACAGGCATGTTGAAGATGCTGATTTATGTTTCTCCCATCTAGAGATACCGGACCCCATCACGCTCTCGTTCAAGGTCTAGAGATCGTTTTCGGCGCAGTGAAACTCCCCCACACTGGCGACAGGAGATGCAGCGTCAGAGGATGAGGGCAGTCACAGTAGAGCGATGGATTAAGGGTGACAGGTAAGATGATATCACCTAAAGTCAAAGATGTTGTAGAAGTTCCCTGTAGGCAGGACTTTTTTTTTTAACTTAATCCACTTTAAAGCACTTAAGAAGAAATTTTTGTTGGGCTCCATATTTCAGATTTAAAAATCATACATTGCAGTGTGCATGTATGATTTTTATTTTATTTTTTTTACGGTCTTTGCATTGCTTTATATTAAAAAATATAAAGCAATTGAAAGGGCAGTAAAAAGGTTGTGAACACTGCAAATGGATCCTGACAATCAGCAGCTTTAGCTCCATTTCCTCCTAAGCTGGTAAATATTGACACCTCTGCTGTGCACCTAGCAGAGATGAAGTGTTTGTCATAAAACTGAGAACGTGCTGAGCCTTGTATCTGAGATGACCACAGACAAGCTGTTGGTAAACTGCACCGACCACTGAAAAAGCATGAATATTTAAACTGTTGGAATATTATTCCCAACATGTATGATTTCATTTCTATAACACTTTTTAAAACTTTTAAGGGCCTAAACCATTTCTTTTGAGTTACAGTACCTTTGAAACTCTTAATACATAAAGATGTGACAGACTTTTTTTTTTTCTTTAGTTAATAAATGAGCCATGTGAGTGGCTTTTTCCCCCTCAGAAATGACAACTCAATTTGACCACTCTCAAAACCCTTAATCAGAATTACTTTGCAGGGCAGGGCGAGTCCTGCTAAATCATTTTTGTTTCAGATATGCACATGTTGTCTTGAGGTGGCTTCCATCACTCTGACTCGTCCTATGAGTTTTGTCTGTTAGCAAAATTAAATATTTTCAATCCCAAATTCATACTCAATATGAATATTATTGACATACACAACATAGAGTTACATGTGGTATATGGTGCATACTTAATAATAAAATTCCCATATCATATGATATCCCAGTTTCAGACTGAAGAAGTCACTTAGCTGAGTGAGATGTTTCTCAATGCTGCATCCAGATGAAATTACCTGGATTACTGAGCAGGCATCAACATTATATCACATGGTGCATGTACACTCACTGGGGTTCACTGTGCTCATAAAACGACAGGCATGGTTAGCAATATTAAGGTGAGCTAAATACACTCAATTGCTGTTATGTGATTGACAGATTATATATTAGCAGCTAAACAGGTGTACTTTATAAAGTGGCAGGTGAGTGGATGTGCACTTGATTATATAACAAAACAACAGAAAAGTTACTTTTTAAAAAAAAAGTAAAAAAATTTCTGCCAAATTGATGTTTTGTCTAACTCCTAAAGTTTATTATTGTTATTATTCTTTTTCTACTATTTCTTTTACAGAGGTGACATGGATGAGGGTCAGGATGAGGCTGCTAAAGCACAGAAAAGAGAAAGACGGACTTCAAGTTCAAAAGCTGAACATACAACTGAGGGTAAAAAAGACAAGAAAACTCGATCTCATAGATCTAAAAGTAAGGAGGAGGATACTGTAGCGAAGGATGAGAAGCATGATAAACAGAAGGCAAAGAAAAAGGATAAATCCCATAGTCGCAGTAAAAGCCGAGAAAAGAAAAGGTCAAAAAGCAGAGAGAAGAGTCACAAGCATAGAAGTGACGAGAGGAGAGGTCGCTCAAGGAGCAAAGATAGAAATGTTCATAAGAAAGAAAAGGAGGCAGAATCTGATCACAGTAAAGACAGAAATAAGGGTCATGAGTCTGACAAAAAGCATAAAGAAGACACAAAAGGTAGAAATGGTGAGAGAACCAGGACAAAGTCCAGAAGTAAAGAGAGAGCTGCCAAAAAGGATGAGCACAGATCAAGCAGCAGAAACAAAGACAGAGGTAGGACTTCAGCATCAAAAGAGAGAGAAGAAAAAAGAGAGAAGGACAGAGAGAAGGACAGAGAGAGGGACAGAGAGAAGGACAGAGAGAGGGACAGAGAGAGGGACAGAGAGAAGGACAGAGAGAGGGACAGAGAGAGGGACAGAGAGAGGGACAGAGAGAGGGACAGAGAGAGGGACAGAGAGAGGGACAGAGAGAGGGACAGAGAGAAGGACAGAGAGAGGGGCAGAGAGCGCAGCAGGAGTCGGGAAAGAAGACACAACAGTGATAGGGAGAGTAAGAGACAAGGAACATCCCGGGATAAAGAACATCGAACAAGAAGCCCAGACAGAAGTAAGGCTAGGGACTCGCACAGAGGCAGGCGCTCGAGAAGCAGGAGTGGCAGGCGAGACCGAAGCAGGGATCGATCCTCTCATAGAAAAGTCAAAGACAGAGAGGCTGCCGGCCAGAGGAGGAGACGCAGTAGCAGCAGCTCTGAGAGTGACAGAGAAGAGAAAAAGAAGAGTCATAGGAGCCCAGATTCTAAAAGAAGAGACAAGTCCAAAGACCGAAGGAGCCCGGCCAGCCAAAGACCAGACAGTACGAAAGGCAAAGATAGAAATGATAGCAAGAGGAATCGGTCGGGGTCTAGCTCCAGCTCTGACAGCAACTAAACGCGCAATGTTCTTATTTTCTACAGCGTATATGTAGTACGCAGCGTCAGCTTTCCATCTACAGTGGGGCACAATCACAGTCCTCATACAGTAAAAAATAAACAGTTCTGCCAAAGTTAACATGACTGTAAAAGGTTCCTCAAAGCTAATTACTTGACTGTTAAATAACTGTGGTATTCAGATAACAGACTGTAGAAAAGACCTTAAATAAAAAGGCTCATACCTGAAGGTGCAAACTGTAGCATCCTCAACCTTTGGCTGAAGTTTGGACTTTATGGGGATTGTGGGTTTGTCCACCACTGAGTGTGTAACACAGTTAACTGGTAGCTGACATTTTGGAGCCATTCTAGAAACAAAGGATTTGTAACTACAAAGTGTGTGTACTGCACAGGCAGGGCTGTAAACGTACCAGGTATTCTTCTAAATTTTACATTATTTAATCGCGTGAAGTCAGATTGGAGGCAAGTTTTCTTTTTGTTGTTGTTGTTTTTCTGAATTTTACATCATGTGGTAAATTCTGTAATTCTGTCTTGACTTAAAATTTTCTCTGATTTTAGTTTGTTAAAAAAAAAAAATTTTAAAGAGGGGGAGAAAAAGATTTTGAAGGTATCCTCGAGTTATTTTAATGTCAATCAGCCTGGAAGAAAACACTCGTGTCTTGCATGCTCATCTTTGTCATTGTGTGTCAGATTATGTACACCCATGATGTTTCTTTTGTTTTGTTTTTTAACCATTTACTGTAATTCTGTTGAAAGAGAAAATGTTAATGCCAAGCTGTTAAGTATAAGATAAAAGCAGTTTGTTTCTGTTCTGTTTGGTTCAAACTGATTTTAAGAACTGCTGGAGTGTTTGAAGAATTAAAAGGCTCTGTTTGATTTTAATTAATTGTTTTTTGTTTTTATTCGTTAAGTGATACCGTTATTACGGAAAAGCAACACTGAATTATTACCTTTTAGTGAGTCATTAGTGGTTGTAATCACTCTGTCATTGCAGTGGAAATCCGTTCCCAGGTTATTTTTAGTTTGGATGAGTCATCTTTCCACCATTTCAAATAACAAATTCTGAGTGATGTGCTTTTACTCCCTTCAAAGCAAGGGAGTATGAATTCTGTTTATCTTAGTCTAGTGTCCAGTTTTCAAGATATCATTTTCAAATTTTGTGTGATTGTTGTTGCCATAACAGCTAAAGCTGATGTAATTTTTTTTCCCTAAAATGTATAATCTTCAACCTTCAATATATAGTAGGCTTTGGGGAACATGAGTACCGAGATTGGCTAAGCACCCTTATTCTTAGCACCCAAGGTTAAAGTTGACCTTAAAAAAACAAATTCTAGAAACCATATCAAGTACTATATAAAAGGGCATACAGAGGGCTGTGTAACACACTTTTTGTATTATAATACAATGCCCCACAACCTCACATTGATACATTCATGCAACATGAAACTTCGAGTATCTTAAAATCTCAAGTTTTATAATTTATATTGCTAAAGTTTGAAGCAGAATTGGCTGAAATTATATGGGTAAAGATTATAAAATGCACTTTTAGTATATAGTGCTTGAAGGTCAAAGTTCAGGATCATACTAATTATGAAAAAGCTTAAGTTTCCTTTGGATCATCTCCAAACTTCAGAGCAATATATTAGTTATCGGGGTGCATAAGCACGTTCCTTGTTTGAGCTCTTTAAAACGTTGTTGTTTAAGTAGAACATGACTTCACAATGACACAAAGATTAATGTACTACACTACATTTCTATATTAACGATGCTGACGTCAGCATAAAGCAGCAATGTTTTAGTGTAGCCCTTTCCCCTCAAGGCAGTGGTCATGTGGTTCCCACAGTTTGTGTCGTGTCATAGTGGGATATGAAAGTACAGCAAGTAGGGCACAAGAGGTTGAGTTACTATAGTTGTGGGAAGTCTGGGGCCTATCTCGGCTGTCATAGAGCAAGACGGGCACACGCTGGACAGATTGTCAGTCCATCACATGGTTACCTGTGCTCAGATGAGCTAGTGGATTCAAGCCAAGGACCTTCTTGCATTGAGACACCAAAGTGAATTACTCTTCTGTTCCTCAATATATTAGTTATATATTAGTTTAACATTGCCATTACATATTCACATTTTAAAAATACAGGACCAACAAAACAGTGGTATGAGAACATATTCATTCCTGATCACTGACTGTAGATAAGTTATTATACTGTTATTGTTTCTGATCTATTTCTGAACTTCAACTCTGCTTGTATTTTGTCAAAAACTAAAGGGGAGCAGTGGCTAACAGCCAGTAAATAACATCATCAGAAGATCAAAATTGACCAATGAAAAAACAAAGAGAATATATTAAACTTGGACAATGAACAAAATTGTCTTTAAAGTTGAGGTTGAGACACAGAAGATTTCTATATTTTGAAATAAGCCATGGCAGTCTCAACCTTGGTAATGATGGCTTTTTACCACTGGTCTCATTGTTTAGTGGATGTTTACCATGACTAAAACCTTCAAAACTTTACGGTTTATTAAATACAACATGGGCTCCCTGGACGCAGGGAGAGTAAGGAGGCACAATCAGTATCAGGATGTTTTTAGCATGTTTGAAAGCAGGTTCAAAAACCTCTGAGCGGATTAACTCTTGAGTTTTTAGTCCCAGAAAACCTGAGTATGTTGTCTCTGAGTTCAGCTCGTAGGCCATCATCAGTGGACCTCCGTTACTAGGATTCACCATGGCAACAGATAAATAAAGATCAGAGCCTCTATTTAAAATCCAGTGGACTAATACGAATCTTAGTGTGGTCTGTGACATTTATATTAAAGAACCGGATGGAAGAAAAGAGCTTTGTCTACTTTGTGATAATCACAGACAGCTTCAAATACACAGTGCAGTTTACACTCATCATGATAATTTGGGACTTTTATTGATTTCTTTGAACTGTTCTTTTTACAGGTTGAAATGATCGTGCAGCACACATCTTTAATAACCTTAAAAAAACAAGAACTGAGTACACAAGTTTGAATTCAATTTAGATTTGTCTAAACCACACAGGGTCAAAATTATACATGCACCCCAGCTAATCTTTCTTAAATGTCCCTTAGCAAGTTGCACCTCAAACAGACCTCAAGCTGCAGCTCTACAAGCTGAAGTTTGTTTAAAATGGTTGGTTTCCTGGCATAAATTTGTTTTTTTAAGCATAGTTCACAGATTTTCAATAGGATTCTGGTCCAGACTTTCAGAAAGCTATCCCAGAAGCTTAATGCCAGCCTGCTTTATTCCTTCCAACACTGGTTTTTATGTGTGTTTGGGATCATTGTCCTGCTGGAACACCTAGTTGTGTCCAAGTTGAAGAATTTGTCAATAATCGTCCTTCATCATTCTATCCACATTGTGCAGTGTACCAGCACCACTGACAGCAAAACAGCCAGAGCACGATGGTACCACTGCCATGCTTGACAACTGGTACAGTGTTCTTAGGTCTGAAAGTTTAATTTTTACTCCTTGAAACATACCTCTTGTCATCTCATTCTTTGTTTCATCTGACTGTAAAACTTTTTTTCTAGAAGGCATTTGGCTTTTCGTGTGGGCAACTGCAAATTTCAGTTCAGTTTGAAGGTGTTGGAGATGTTTGGAGCTTTTTTTCTTGCTTGTCACCCTCTCATTTCACAGGAATGTAAAGCTGTCTTCGATGTGGACATTTCAAGCAGTTTCTAGACATGAGTATTGGTGGTTACTGGGTTGATGCTGAGCATTTTAACAGATTTCATCTAATCTGAGGTAACAGTGTGGTTCTTCACGCAGACCATGGCATTGTGTGCTATATCTGAAGAGCTTGCACTTGCGTACAGTTGTTTGAACTGATGATCCTGGAATCTGCAGTTGTTTAGGAATGGATTGGAGCTCCTTGGACTTGCCATTGTTCTGAGTATTGGTCAATCCAATAAGTGCTGTCAAACAAATCCTTTCTATGTTGGCAAAGAGAAACTTCCAGTTTTAATCAAACATGTTCACTAATGAACGGTCTTGTGAAGTTAAAATACATTGTAGAACCTTCAACAGCACTTATTAAAAGATTTAAGTGATTGTATGTATATACTTGAATCTTCATTTTTTCCCCTGTCCAAATCTGACAGGGACAAAATGCAGGTGACATTAGGGCGTTCGGGATGTGAGACCGAGTGTTTCGGCTGATTCGGGTGTAGGAGGGGTTTGTGAGTTTGTTCATGAAACCTGATAGCAAGCAGGTTAGGTTCACACAGTCTGACTCAGGAACAGTGTTTCCCTCATATCAGAGTTAACAAACTCACACTTACTGAACCTGCTTTCTGGAAGTGCACTCAAACTGGATGTAACCTATCACCATGTGAATCCAAGTCTTCTCTTGGCATCCTGAATATCTACAGCTTGGTGAAGCTTTTTGATGTTCTGGGTGGCCAATGACACGTATTTGGGCATCTGAGCTCCAGTGCGGTCCTGAACAAGGTAACTTGGCCTGACTCCACTAAAAACAGGACCAGACCCACCTCCGATCCCTTCCCTCGCAGCTTTACAAAGTGGAAACACGTTTTGCTGAGCCTCTGCTGCAGCATTGATGATTTGCTGTGAATACTGCTGGAAGCGGTTTTCCTCTTCAGCGATGAGTTCTGCATTCTTCACTTCAAACTCATGTTCCTGTTGTCTCAGCTGCTGAAGTCTGGCACCTTTTTCAGCCTGTATTTGCAAGGCAAAGGCAAACGAGTTTCAGTGAAGAAGGTGCAAAGTTTCTGATTAAAACTTAAGTTTTGGCCGACATTACCATTTGCGCAGCATTGAAGTCTTGCACCTCTCTTTCTTCTTCTCTGATTTTCTTAACCTTTAGTTGCTGCTTCTCAGTAAATATTCTGTCAGCCTCTTTCTTGGCCTGCAGTGCTTCTTGGGCCTTCTTCCTCTCTATTTTGTCCTTCTCCTCCTTCTCTTGTCTCTGGTAAAACAGTTTGCATTACAGACATGATTAAATTTTGTCAGCAACAATGTGGATTTCTCTACACAGAAAAGACACATTGGAGGATATATATACACTGTGATGGTATATTGAAATAAATAGAGCTTGTGTACCACTTTGGAATATTTAAACATCTGCAACTCAGGGATCTTCTAACCCTAACCCATGTAGTTTACAAGCACCCAAAGCTGTTGAGCTCATAAATAAAGCTCTTAAGAAGACATGGGAAAGTGATTTAAGTCTGAAACAGGATGAAAAAGAATGGAAAATAATGTGTACGAGCAGTAAAAGGTATTTAAGGTACGACTTATTCAATTTAAGATCATGCATTGCCTTACTTTCTGTATACTGTTGAATGCCATTATAAATGTGTCCATTAAAAATAAAGAATGCATTTACAACGAGACATTTATGTGATGAGATGTGTTGGGGCAGGAGAGAGGATTGCGGTTTTTTTCTTGTAAGTTTAAATAAAAACTGTTAATTAGGGGAAAAAAATGGCACGACATTAAGAAAAATTGGACTTAGAGGAAACACACTGGATGTTTCATGCTCGGTTTGAGATACCATTAGCTCTCTGTGTACACTGATGGACTTCAACATTGCAGCTTTCTTCTCATCCTCCTCCAGTTGCTGCTGCGCCTGTTTTGCCTCGCTCTCTGCGACAGCCTTTGCGATTTTCTGCTCCTCGCTGACAGCTTGCTCCTGCTGTGTGACCGTCAGTTTGTTTATGATCCTGTCTCTACGTGTCTGGGCCTCTCTAGAGAAGAAAATGCATACGAGTATCCATTATATTTAAGAAGATGTAGCACTGGAGATACTTTGATCCAGAGCTATTTATTGATATATACTGTTTTACTCTGTCTTACCTAAGCAGCTCTTTTTCTTTTTCTTTGCGTAACTTGATGATTTTTTGCTTAGTAGAGAGAAACAGTTTCCTTTGCTCCTCTTCAGCTTCCTGTTTCTGAGCATCCGTGGCTCTTACGAGGTCTCTGTTGGTGATATGCTCCTGTAAAATGCATTAAATAAACTTAATGTCCAGTGAACTAAATACTAGATAAGATTCAGATATGAGCCTACCTGGCAAGCTTGCATGAGGCTTCTTTTCTGATTTGCTTGTCTTTCTGCCTCCATCCTTCGCTCCAGCTGATGCAGCGCTTGGAGACGCTGGATTTCGTCTCCATCCTTCTTGCTCTCCAGCTTCTGTCGCTCTCTCAACAGCTCATTTTCTTTTATTCTGAGGAAAAGTAATCATATAATTGTCATTGTCCTGGGGTTGTGGTGTTTTGGGGATTTAAAATTCTTAACACATACAGCTGGAGCCTGATTGTTAGGTCTTACTGGTTTCTCAGGTCTTCTACAGCAACCTGTCTCACAAGCTTCCTCTGCATTGCCTTCTCCTGCTCCTGTTTCGAGGCTTCATCCTCTCTAGTCTGTACCATATGCAGAAATGCCTTGTCCACATCTATATTGGCACTCTTTCTTCTTTGTTTAAGCTCAATCTGAGCATCCCTCTCCTTCAGCACCTCTGTCAGCAGGAGTGCACTCTGTGGAGGAAGTGTTAATCATTTGTTAGGTGAAATTGTGCAGTTTTATACACAAGTGGCATAATAATGCACAAGCGAGACTAACATGTAGTCCTTTGACTCTGTCGGTTTGACAGTAGAGCTGAGTCTTGGCTTTTTCAATAATCTCCTTCCGCCTCTGCTCCTGGTATTTAGCTTCTTCTAAATCAGCCAGTCTCATTTGCTCCTCCTCAATTTCCTTTCGAATCTTCTTTTCCTGCAGCCTTTTCAGCCTTTGTCCCTGTGACAAGACATAAGTGTACGTAAGATGCAGTGTGTTTTTGTCTTTGTGTTCCAGCTCTTTTCAACCTAGCAAGTGCACATGACTTTATTAGTATAAATCTAATCTTAGGAAATGTCTCTCAACATGGAACTTACATGGAGGGTATCAGGCCAAAGTTTCACCACCTCCTGTGACTGCAGGTGTAGGTTCTCTCGCTGTTTAGCTGCCTCTCTTATTCTCTTCTCTTCTTTATTAACCCCACACAGTTCATCTTGAATCCTCAGCCATTCAGTCTTACGTAAGACAGTAACATGTCGGAGGTCTGGTGGCTGCATAGGTCTAATGGCTTCATCTGCTGACACATTAATAAAGAAATTACCACTGGAACATGTGCTACAGCAACCACTAATCACACCAAGGTTCCTACTACGTCCCTAGAAGATATTATACTCATATAGAGAAAAAACCACAACACCCCACTTGTAAAATAACTGACTTTCATAGTTGTACTTCTTGGTTGAAGTGAAGTGAAGCAGGATCTTGGAAAGACTTTCAAAATTTAAAATCAAAAGCACTTATAGGCTAATAGCCTCGACAAACAAATAGCTTAAATAAATGAGCATTACATTCGGCTCCATCTAGAGTTTTTGGTTCAATAATGGCTTAAAACGGCTCTGGTAGCAAAGGTTAACTATATAACTACACATAATAAACTTTTAAATATTTGTTTGGCTCTCACCATTCTTACTAGCTCCTCTACGACGGCCGTACAGAACCACCGCTGCCATTCCTATCGGATGGAGTGGCTACTATTATAGAAAATAATGTCAAACACAAAAAACAAAGTAAAGGTTCTCTTTTATTTTATTATAGTTGAAAGCTGGCGTTCGTCAGACTGCCCGCTCTACGTAGCCTGAGTTTGTTGCGTCGTATCCAGGCAATGACGGAACCAATCAGAATCATCCTCTGAATACTGATAGGCAGAGCCCTCGGAGGGTCAGCGGGGCTCAGGAAGTGATTAGCCGGAACACCGGCATGTGAACACAGAGAGAAAGCTCTGTTTTTCTCAAATTAGTAGGCAATAAATCCATTGATCTACAACAGTATTTTATACCGCAGTCAAGTGTATATATACACACTCGTATACACTCCTGGCAATTTCAGATTAAGTCATTTTGTTGTCTTTACTCTTGTTTAAGATCTTGGTCTATGAAATCCATTGTAAAATCTGGTCCTTTAGGCATATGCAGCTGTGTAATCATGACAGATGTGCTAAATTTACTGAGCCAGCAGTGAAACATGGCCTGTCATGTGCTGCCTAATGAGTCAGGTGATGAACAGTGTCTGTTGAATTAAGACTCGCCTGACCTGACTTACTGTTAAATGGGGAGAGTTATGGACCAATTTGATCTTTAGGTGATCACATCTCTCAGATCCTTTACTTTGCTACTTATGTTTCAGCTGTTATAGTTTATACTCAGTTATTTGATAGAGTTTTGAAGGTTATTCTGAACTGTGTTTCATACAAGGCTATGCTGGTAAACTCTGAGAAACAAAATATGGATCTAGAAATAAGCATAATCAACACCTCATGATTAGAATTTGTTTTCAATTTGTAGCAGAGTTTCACTGAACGTCGGAGACAGGCTAAGAATAATATTTTTCTACTGTTTGTACTTAGTAAAGGTAAAGTACTTCATAGTACTAACAAACTAAAGATGTATCCCTTTCCAGCTATGAATGCAGTTTATGTGTTCACTTTTATTTGCAATCTTTCAGTTTCATTTTTTCTAATTTGTACAGCATACAATTCATATATTATCCCTGGTATAACTAAAAACTATGCATCGTTTAGAGTCTCGAGTTAGGGATTGGTGTATGGATAAGCTACACTGAGTAACCTTAATATCATCTGATAGTTGCTATACTGCTTGTATTACATTTAATAAGCCATTGCTGCTCTATTGAACTTACAATATTTTACCTTTTTATATATTATTTTTTATTTCAGTTTACACTCATTTCCCTTCAGTATATGTATCTGTTTAGATTAGTTTGATACTTATTGATATATTTTTGTCCTATTCTGTTTTATTCAGCAACATATCATTCTACTTATTGGCACTATTTCTTATATGTATTGTGTGTTTGTCTTAGTTTTTAACTGCTCTAACAAAAGCATTTTCCATCTTTGCCATAAAGGAAATATATCCTATCCCATCATATAAAATAAAATCTAGCAATCAGTTAAAGAAAATCTAAAGTTGACAAATAAAAGTATGTACAAAATAAAACACCCTTTCCAAATAAAATCCAAGTCAAGACAAATTTTTAAATGAGGATTTAATTTATCAAGGGAAAAAAGTTTACAAGCCTGGCCCTATATGAAAAGGAAAAATGAATTAACTGTGATAAACCATTGATTTTGGAAAGTTAAGCTTCATTAGCTAATACGAAGCCTTATTGCTGCCAGACTTGTTGAATCCAGAAATCACTTAAATAGAACCTGTCTGACAACGTGAAGAAGGCTAAAAGCTCTCAAAATCTAAAGAAACAGCTGAGAAACAAAGTCATTGACATCTATCCGTCTGAAAATGGAAATGAAAATTACTCCAAATGACTGCGTTCTGCTTTTTCAGGTGCTTCCATGACATGACTCCAGGGGGACATAAAATAACTTAACTGCAGGCCTCACCTGCCTCAGTTAAAGTCGGCATTCTTTATTTAATAATAAGAAAGAGACTGGGTAAAAAATATCATCCATGGGAGAACTCCAAAGAGAAACTCACAGCTGAGCAAAAAGAACACAAAGGCTCATCTCACATTCACCAAAAGAAACCTTATATAATATGAGTTTAATTTATATGAAGCTTTGAGTCCCGTTAAATCTGACATAAAACTAATACAGCATTTCATTTAAAAACAAAACAAAATATCACATCAGCATGGTGGTGGTAGTGTGATAGCCTGTGGCAGGACAGTGATATGAAGCACACCAGCAAGTCCACTACTGAATGTCCCCAAAAAATAAAAGCAAGGTTAGATGGAAGATTGAGATGCTTTGACCTGACCTTAAACTGGCTATTCACACCAAACGTCTCCCACTGTGGCTCAGTTAAAGCATTTCTGCAAAGAAGAGTGGGCCAAAATTCCTCCATGTGAAATGTGAAAGACTCATTGCCAGTTATCACAAAAGCTTGATCGCAGTTCTTGCTGCAGAAGTGGCACAAGTAGTTATCAGGTTTAGGAATAGCTTTTTTTCACTTAATAATTTGAATTATGGTTTAAAAACTGCTTTTTGTATTTACATGTATGTGTGACAAATGTGCAAAATAATAAATAACGCTGATCCATTTTAACAGGAGGCTGTTGCTAACCTTGAACCAGCACTACGTGTAGTCTTACAAACCAAAAGCCAGTATTAGCCTCAGTTAGAGTACTTCTGCACTTTTATTTTGAATGCAGGCCATTTCCAGGATTTCCAGTATGCATTGTTCGGATTTGACTTTCTATGCTTTGAGAGCTGCAGGCGGATCCACGTAGAAAGGGGGCGTCTTAAATCAGAGACGACCATTCAAAACCGGCAGAAGGAAAAAAAAAGAAAAAAGAAGCAACTCCCCGATCCATCCATCCATCTCTTCTCCCAGATCACTCAGCACCCACCGGTGGCCCACCAACGAGCGACCCGCAGAGAAAACACCAAGATGGCCCCGATCTCCATCAAAACCGTGCTGATTAGTGAAAGTGTCGACCCTCGCTGCAAGGCGATTCTGGAGGAAAATGGCATCCGAGTCACGGAGAAGCAGAACATGACTAAGGATGAATTAATCGCGGAGATAAAGGTAGTAATGGCACTCTGCGTTATATTGCGTGGTTTCTTCACATGCACCCGCTGTCGGGTTTATTTTTTTCTTCCTACCAAGCAGGTTTCTATAAAGTTTAGTCTAAAGCCGCTTTCGCTCTAATGGGTGCGCATGTGCCCCTGCACGCCTAAAAAAGTTTTTGCGGACTAGCAGCCGGCATTTTATTCCGTAACACAATTCAACCTGACACGTGTAATTAAATGATCCCGACAGCCAGTTAAAAACTGATTTATTCGGTTAGTACCGCCCATTGTGAAGCTGATGCAACTCATTCGTGGTGTTGTGACTATTGCCGCACGGTCAGACCTCCTATCTGCTGCAAGTGCATCGGGCGGCCATTGATTCCACTTCTACCCCCAACCCAAACTACTCCATCAATCCCACATTTTCTCCACAGAGCCAATGTGTGTATGTCTAAGAATATTTGAACAAATTCAATTTGTCAGATTAGAAATAATGAGCTGTTCTCATATAAGCTGAATGGACTGTACAGGGCTGGCTCTAAAACTTCTGGTGCCCTAAATGACATGAGGCCCCTGCAGGGGTGTCTTAACATTATTGTACACCCTGGGGCTGTGAGCCTTTTGTAGCCCCCATAGTCCAAAATGTATTTATTTGTAAAAATTTATTTTAGCCTATTCTCAATAAACATTTCAATGTTGAATGACCATTGGATGGCTGTTTCTCAGCATCTAGAATATACACCACAAGGGTAACTCAAAGTGTTCATCTCTCACACTGAGCTAACTGATCTAATAACTGGCTGCAACACAGGCTAATAAATCAACATGCAACAAATGGGATAGAATTTACATGAAGATCAACATAAGCGGCTTAAAAGTGTCCTTTATAGTTAATAGGAATAACATTTGGTAATAGTAGTGTGTGTGTGTGTGTGTGTGTGTACACGAACCAGATGTTGTTTGGCACTCTGCTGACAACTATTTAGCAACGTTATCAGTCAGATGTCATTTTGCAGCATGATCAGTTTTGAATGCTGCAGTTTCAGCCATTAAAAAAAAAATCTTTAAGATCTTTGTTTTTTTGTTTGTTTGGGGTTTTTTTTAGCTTTTTAATCTGTATTTAGACAGGAAAGTGGAAAGAAGAGAGGGAAATCTGAGAGCAGGAAAAAGACACACAGTGAATGGTCTTGAAGCAGATTCAAACCCAGAACTCGGCACCTGAAACAACACCTGCAGATATAAAATCACATTTTATTGTGGAAAAAAGTTATTTGCATGGTTAACAGGTGTCCCCCTGGCAATGGGAAACTATAGAAGTCCATGTTACATTGTAACAGGGGAAAAAACTCCACTATAACCTGTCTTGTAACATTTCTGGTTGAACAGAGGTAAATCATTTGGCATAAAACAGGCCAAAGATCAGTGTTAGAAATGAGGAAATAATGAGAATTATTTAGTAAGTATATCATATCCTGGCATAGGATTTTTGACTGGTTCACAGTTTTTATGCTGCTCAAAATAACTGACACCCATTGACTCTGTGTGAACTATTGGGTGTATTTAAAACAGCTCTGCTTCTTTCTGAATCTCAGGACTATGATGGCCTCGTGGTTAGATCTGCAACCAAGGTAACAGCTGATGTTATCAGTGCTGCTAATAATCTCCAAATTATTGGAAGAGCTGGGACCGGTGTGGACAATGTAGATGTTCCTGCCGCTACCAAAAAGGGCATTATTGTCATGAAGTAAGCCTCCAGTTTAAATGCAGATTTTCTTCACTGTGCAGTTCCAGTATACCACTGACTTTACTTTATAACTGTGTTTTTCTGCAGCACGCCGAGTGGCAACACGATCAGTGCTGCTGAGCTGACGTGTGCTCTGCTCATGAGCCTCTCAAGGCAAGACGAGTCATGTCATTTCTGAACAATTGCCGAGAAGCTCTGTAGTTGTAATTGAAGTGCAGTAATATTCGATTATTATGTTGATCTGTTTTCAGAAATGTGCCACAAGCAGCGATGTCAATGAAGCAAGGAAACTGGGATCGCAAGAAGG